AGTACTTTGAACCAAGGCCGGATCCTGTGCCCCTACTCTTCCTACTCCTGCTGCTGCTGCTGCTACTGCTACTGCTACTGTTACCGTTGCTGCTACTTCTGCTTCTGCTTCTGCTGACCATGACCATGTGTGTACTCACGAAGCAGCAATATGCTGTGTGCCATACGGCACCGGGCAGAATGCCTGCTCTACCCATTCCGCCCCGACGACGACGACGACGACTACTACTACTACTACTCCTACTGCTACTGCTACACAGAAGATCAGGTCACGTTGTCAAAAATCATATGCAGGTACAGCTTGATGCAACCATACGTGTTCCAGTACTTCATGGGCCTACTTTTGAGGTTCGACATGAGACTTACAGCTTGTGTGCCTTCATTGAACATCATGGCAATACACCAGCAGCGGGTCACTATAATGCCACACTGGTGCAGGATGCATTTTGGAGTTGTGACGACAATCGAGCGGCACGTCGAAGAGCTGCTATGACGGGTTCACAACGTAAATCCTGCTATGCTCTGTTCTACTGTTGCCAGAAAGCTTTACCACCTTCTGTGCATTAGCAGCTGGACGGCACGCATGCTCATTTGTTCTTCGGAACGGTGCGTGCCGATTTTCGTAGATTGGAGATGGCCAAATGGTCATGAACACAAGTTCCGGGCGACCGATGGTAGCCTGCTCATACCCGACGCTGGGCGGATGGATCTCTTTCTCTGCCTGCAAAGCTCAAAAGCTGCTACTGCTACTGCTATACTGCTACGGCTACGGCTACTGCTACTACAACTACTACGACGGAGACGGCGACCACGACTACTTCATTATCTCCTCAAACAGCACTAACCACGAATTGAAAAATGTTTTGGCTACGGAACTACGACTCAAACCAAGCAAGCATGCGAGTCGCTGCCTGCAGGACTTCCGCCGCACTCCTGCCGCGGCCGCCAGCACGACAAGGCCAGCACTGTGCCGTCTGAGTGGAGTTGACGCGGAGAGGATCCCTGATCCGAGCAACATGTACGATTATCATGATTTGCCTGACTGCAGCCGTAGTGGTGTGCGATGTATGCATTACCAGTGGCAATGAAGCTGAAGGTACTTCTGTGACCACTGTAAATCGCAACTGCTACAGGTACCAGCGTGCTGCATTCTCTCGTTAAGTCCTATAATATATGCTATCCGGGCGATGACTACTTCTGCTGCTGCATATCCTTAAACTCAAATCCGCTAACCCCCAGAGCGTGAAGCCTCTAAACTCTTCAACCCTACAAACATCTCCACAAAGCCTCAGTTTCCCTGTTAAGCTCTTGTGCCGTAAAACCCTGAACATCTTCAAACCCTAAACCTGGCGCTCCAAATCGCCCAAAGTAGGTAGACGTATGGACTTTAGACCCCAAAGTAGGTACTACCCAGAGACTCCAATATCCCAGACTCCAATATCTCTTATCCCTTAATGAAGGAATATACCTTATGTCATATTGGTGATACTACTATAACTTAAGGTATATTCCTTAATTAAGGGATATTGGAATCTCTGGGTACTTGCATACTTGGAGTTTTGGGGTAAACAAACGAAAACCATGCCTCAATAACTACAATATCGGTATATTATAGTATATATACTCATAACAAGGAGCCCCCAAAGTGGGAGTTTCCGAAATAGGGGACCCTAATACAGCACCCTAACTCGTAGTGTCCTTATTATAAGGACCCCCCAAATAAGGTACCCCTAATTTTTGGAAAGCCCCAAAATCCTGTTCTAACTGCAATAGGGTTTGGAGGTATATTACAGTATAATCATAAAAAGGAACCCCCAAAATCCTGCTAAAAAAAATCAAAAAAACAGAGAGCCTCGGCTTCGCCGTTGGCTCGGGCTCGGTGGGTGCAAAGAGGCTCTCGCAGCGAGGCCATGGAGGCTCAGGCACATCTGGATGATGCTAAGGGGGTTTAAGGTTTATAGGGTGTAGGGCTTTTAAAGCGTTTAGGGTTATATAAGGTTTTTAGAGGGTTTAGGGTTTAGGGTTTTTAGAGGGTTTAGGGTTTAGATGGTTTAGGATTTTTAGAGGAGTCCTTGGGTTTGGGGGTTAAGGGTGCTTAGACGGTTCCCTGAGCATTCCTTCAAGGATTCTATGGCGATTCGGGTTTGGGATGACGGGATTCGGGGTGCAGAGGGTTTCATCGAGGACGGCTATCGTTAAGGGTTCCTTTGCTGGTTCTGAGAGGGATTTGTCGGCTCCCGCATGGCAGGTCCGAAGACCCGCTTGGCCACGTTGGACAGCTCACACGCTGGCTTTTAGGAGAACTGTGCTTCCAAGGGGTTCGGGTAGGGTTTAGGGTTTAGGGGTTTTACGCTCTCGCAACTCGGACAAGCCAGACGAGGTTCTCGGTGCGCGTCGGTACTACTGTCAGCTTCGCTCAAGCCTTCGCCAGAAAACAACACAACACCAAGGTAATGCCACGCAGCACAGGCTCAGAGCTCCACCGACCGAAAAGGTTCCCTACCAGGTGCATACCAGCAGGGGAAAGATCAAGGTACATGGCTACTTCCCACAGTTCACTACTAAACAGGCACCCAGTGGTCAACAACAGCGCAACAAACAAGTTAAGGCCACTTATGATACCAGGTGCCTCGGCGCGGCGGTGCTTTGACCACCCTTGTTACGACAATCCCTCCCCAAGAAACCCCAAATAACCAACAAATCCATACATACTTCTTACCGTGCCAACAAGCAAACTTGCAACCTCCTTCACTTCTTACCGTGCCAACAAGCAAACTTGCAACCTCCTTCACTCTATTGTGCCAACAAGCAAACTTGCAACCTTGTGCACTTCTGCCGCTGACGGGATAATCGCAACAATAAGATCCCAGCTCTGCAAGGAGCGGAAGCCCAGACGCATGCAGCGCATCAATTGCCGGTGAAAAAGCAAGTGCAGTGCGTATTCCGGCGGCGCACTCACTGTCTGCTCTGGATTGTAAATAGTTCATGAAGGCAACCGCAAACTTGCAGAGCATGACCAATGGTGTAATGTGAAAGCAACGAAGTCAGGCAAAACTAGAGCAGCCAAGGCAACATCATCCGACAAGTATGTCGTGAGAGCGACGCTCGAAACAATATTGTCCAACTAACAATGAAAAAGCCAACACAGCGGCATCCAGCAAAGCAGTCCAAGCAATATCGCCCAAAGACGAAAAGCGATGCTTCTCCGAAGGACACTGCCGATGTTGTGTACACAGCAGACTCACGAACAAGTATGCAGGCTAGAAACGCATATGTGACATGTGTTGGGCGCGTGCTGGCCTGAAAGGCATCAAGACTGCTGGGCTTCCCACATTGACATGCCCTCGCAAGTTTTTGATTTAAGTGGCGGCATGCGGTGCTCCGCAAAAGTAGTTTCAACAAGCAAGAGTGGAAAAGGTTTTTGGCCATTACGATGGAAAGACCGAAACCAACAGGAATCATATGTGCCAGCCCGTTCAAAACACATCGGATGTGCGTTCACGCAAGTCCTCAATCGCAAGTCCTTTGGCGGAAGTCCTCAGGCTGTCAGGCATCTTGAGCCTGTATTGATGGAGCCAGTGGCCGTTCAAGAGGAGCACGCCTCCTTTGTCTTGATGACCCAGCCTCATTTCTCTTGATTGTTGCTTGGTGCAGCCTGGGCCTGCTTTTTGAATTCCCGCCATTCTGACAGCATCTCCTCGAAGACGGAGTTGGAGAGCACAATCAGGTCATCGGATAGACCGTGCTGCAGAGCCACTGCGTCATCTAGGTGCAGCGGTGCGACATAAATAACCTGCGGGTCGGGTTTTAGGGTCTAGGGGTTTAGGGTTGAGGGTTTGGGGTTTAGGGTTCATTTTAGGATTCCGGTCTGTGGACCTTACGGGATGTAGAGTTTGGGCAAGTGTAGGGCTTTCGGGTTTGGCTCTCAGGGCTTGGGACTCCTTCATGTATCAATGACTACAAGTATGACTACGACTATGAGACCTGCTGTTTATGTGCAGGACTTTTCAGCACTCTAAGCATGATAACATGGTACCCATTACTGTTATTGTGAAAGCGCAGTAGTATCAGGGTAGCAGCAGCCGGAGGAGCAGGAGTACGGAGAAGGAGTCCCTGGCTGCACATTGACAAATTGCGTTGGCTACAACAACACTACGTCATTGCTGGTCCACGGACCCTGTCGGAGTCAAAGTGCGTCCCATTTCCCATGTCTTGTCGGTTTTGGGTTGGTATGTAACTTCACGCGTTTGCTTGATGTGGAAGTGAACAGCATGGAGGTCCCGAGAGGGGTAAGCAGTAGGTATTCCGGGTGGCTACCTTTGTCTTGCCTCTCCGCCCAGAAACTACCTGCATGCCAGAATTTCAGCTGCAAACCGCAGTCGCTCCATCAGATTTTGCGGAGGTGCAGGTCGCACGCCAATAGGTTTGTTGTGGTCTTGCAGTGTGAGACGCTGTCCTTGAATTAAGGTATCTTCCTAGGTCTGATGAACAAGTCGCGTGTTTCTAGAGGTGCCGCTTGCTTTCATTACAGCGCTTTCAATGCTGGAGTATATCTCATTTCTCTGAGACCCGAAACACCCCAGCCCGGCAAAGTGGAGAATAACCTGACAACCCTGCCCCAAAGGGGAGCTGACTTATCGACAGGAGATGTAGTTTGATAGCCAAATTGATCGTTGAATACGATTCAGGTGTGGGATATTGTAGAGTCACAGAGTTCACCGTTTGCAGCACCTACTTGGCACCACGTGGAGCCCCAATTAGATCGCCTGCCGCTGACACATGAATTGAAAGGGGTGCTGGCCTCTACCTCCCGTGCTTGTGCTGAGACTGACTAAGACCATGACCAATGCGGCTAGAACTGTTCCTGGGCTTACTTCGTTTACCCAAACTTTCGTCTCAGAAGTGTACAATAAGTGTCAAACTTGTCCAGCCCACGCTAGGAGAAACTGACACTATCACCATGATACTTGATGTCGTCATGGAGCGATTTTTAGCCAGCCTTCAAACGATGGCTCTGACTTTGGGCTTCACTTCTTCCGCGGGAGCCGGCGCGAGCGGCGTGCCAGCTGGCTTGGGCGGCCCGGAATGACACAGAGCCTGAAGCAAGGTGGGATGCAGCGTCCAGACAGAACGCAGAGAGAGCCCACACTGCCTAATAGCGAACAACTGCAGTAGGGCGACTTCGGAATGCAGAAGGCTTTCCATAGGTCGTATCTGCACTAAGATTTTGCGGTATGCAATGACAAGTACTTCGGGATGAAACAGACTGATGGTAAAGTACGAACACTGCAAGTGAGCAAGTGACACCTTCCAGAAAACAAAGACACAGAAGCAACTCTGAACATATATAGGGAGCATGAATCGCTACACAAGCAAACTCACGATGGGACGAAATCGGAGACAAGAATGCGCGAGGGACAGCAAGACCAAGAATAGCAGGCATCTGTCGCGGGAATTGCGGCCGAGGGTCATGGCTTGCCGTCAGTGTGCCAAGAATGCCCAGAAGCACCAACAAGGCTTGGCCAAAGACGACGAAAATCAGCGTTAAGGAACCTCATGTAGCTCAGGAGTCGGTCGTGGACTTTTCCATGCCCGGAAGTATGCTGTCCGGACTGGAGCCTGCAACCGATTTTGTTTCGTAAAACTTCTCCATGTCTTCTGAAGGACCCAAAACCTCAAATTTTGGGAAAATGGGCGCTAAACCCAAAACCCCAAAGCCAAAATTTTGGGAAGATGGGCCCTAAACCCAAAACCCCAGACCCTAAATTTTGGGAAAAAGGCAAAACCCTAAATTTTGGGAAGATGGGGCCCCCTTAGCTGTTTTTGAAGGCGCGCCTGGCAGTTTCGGGTCTCGGGTTGTCTTTTTAAGGCTCTGGGGTTTCATTGCTTGCAGTGAGCGGTTAAGGCTTAAGGGGTTCAGGGATTTTGTTTTTTGAACGGCCCTTTTCCTCCTCGCAGTTGAGTCCGGGGTTTAGGGTTTAGGGTTTAGGGGTTTAGGGTTTACGCTCTCACAACTCGGACACAGCCAGGCGAGGTTCTTACGTGCACAGTCGGCGTGACACATTACATCAACGGTTTCTCTCTTGGGGTTTAGGGTTTAGGGCAAATCGACAAAGCAAACCAACATTGCAGCTTTGACGCTCTCCCCGCAACCAACTGCTGACGGACTTGCCAAAGAGGTTAGGGAGGCATTATGCTTCGATAAGCACTGCTTGCTGTGTAGCTCAAGGTGCTGATCCCAACCCGCAATCACGAATGAACATCTTCGGTAGGGGGTGTTCTAGAACCTGGCCACTACCTTGCAAAGCGTGCCTAATATAGGTGCCTTAATAATTAGAATAGGGTTTTGGGGCCCATTAAGCGAAATTAATAAAAAGGAACCCCCAAAATAGTATAGTATTGGTAATTATTGAGGCCCCTATATTACTCACTGTCAAGGTGCCAGCGTACAAAAGAGCAAGCCGATGCGATGCTGTGATCTCCGTACCAAACACAACCTCAGTCTGAGGTTACTAGGGATCTATAAGGGCTCCTTGAAAGGAATCTATAAGGGCTCCTTTAAAGGGATCTATAAGGGCTCCTTCAAAGGGCTTTCGGCTTGATTTTGCGTTGTTTTGTGGTTCTGTTTTGTGTCAAAGGGCCCCGTTCCTCTTGAAAGTTACGAAGCTCGACGGCACTGGACTTCCGGGGCTCAGAACCAAGTGCTCAGCTTCGCCCCCAACTTGTCTGTGCTTTCTCAGGCGTCCAATCGTTCAAGAATACATAGTCCAGTGCTATACAGCAGAACCTGGATCCGGCTTGGTTTGTGGAGGATTCAGGTTGCCAATGCACAGCTTTTCGGTACTTCCTGTGAGTTTATGACAAGAGATCTGCACGCTTAAAGCTTGAAGCCAATCTGTAGCTTGCCTTCGTTCTCGTCAGGCTAGTAACGAAAGATGACTGAATTCATTTGTTGAGTAATCGAATTTGGCAAACTACTACGCCGTGAACAGGTGTCGTCCCAGACACACATCATGCCAGAACGTCCGAGCAGGCTGTCCCTTGAATTGCCACTGCAGATGGGTTAGTAACAGCCTGGAGGCAGGTTTCCATTGTGGGTCGAAGCCCCCACGTGCAATGTAAGCGGCCTGAGCTGACCGCTGTTCGAAAGCACTGGCACTGTCAGCTTTGATCCGCAACTTCTTGATCAGGTTTCGCAATGCAGGGGCGTAGACGGCTTGAAGAACGAATGCAACGGTTGATGATATAAATCCTGCATGACCCAACATAAGGAATATGCCATAATTCCCATAGTTTGGGGTCACTAAGGTAATGCAGGATTTATATCATCAACCGAAGCTCGTGACAGAGAAACTTCGTCTTAGGCTTTGGTTTCTCTCTGAATGCATCTTCATCCTGCAAGGTCACACGGCTTTATCTTCAAGGGCATGCGCTGAGAAACGGACCAGAGTGATGCTAAGACCACACACATGCTTTTCGTGCAATGAAGATGTGTACATCTAGAATCTAGAATCTAGAAACCGAACAGGTCCAAGACCGCAGCGTCTAGAGCGTGAACCTGAAGAACCCGTCGGCGGCCTATCGCAGCCCTCATTCTGCAGAAGAAATGGACTTAACGCATACCAGCATTTCGCAGGAAAAAGCTGCTCATTCGGAACACCAAAATCTTCTTCTAGAACTTCATAGCCCCGGCACCCAGAAGCATACTAATAGCACGATCGCCAGCAGCCAGGAGGTGTGGCGGTAGACCGCGATGGCAAACATCACAGATCCTCAGAAGCTTCATCACAGATTCGCCGGCATTCTGAGTGGCTCTGCGCATTTGTCGTGCGATCCAACGATGTCTGCACGATTGCATACGGCTCGTTTAGGTAGCGTTCTTCTCACCAGGTCGCATGCTGAAATCCTGGACTGACATGGGGCAGAACTGCAGGAATTTGAGAATCGCTTAAAATTCACGGCTTAGCTTCTACTACTCATGCACGATCATGATGATGTAGTGCCGAAATGCCATAAGGTATATTCCTTAGTTAAGGGATCCTCCGGTTTTGGAGACTGGGAGCTGGCAGCTTTCGGTTTTCCATCAATATAAGGGCCTAAATGATTTTATAATAACATTTTGGGGTTCATTATACTATAATAATACAATTATAACAATAAGGAAACCACCAAAAAATAGTATAGGCAACTTTTAAGGCCCCTATACTCTGCCCGGGGGAACTAAACGTGAACCGTTGGCATTATGCAGGGGTTGTAAGCTCTACTAGCCCCCAAAAAGTACTCACTCTACTACAAAAACAACCTCTCAGGAAGGCTCACAACTTTCCCTTGCCATCCCGTCCGCCTATCATCAGGTAGTTTGCCTGGAAGTAGGCAATGTTTCCTGCCAGCAGGTCCGCGAGAGTGTCACTGTCAGACGAAAGATATCAATCCTAATTTGTCCATTGCCGAGTGGGAGAGGAACTGTTTAAAGCAACACTTCAAGACCACAAACGAATGATGACAAGAAACCCGTGATAATTACTGTTCTCGGAACTCATTCCAGGGTCAGGACAGACTCTCAAGTGCAGGCATGAACGTCATCCTGCATACAGGAAGTCGCAGGATGCGGGACACGAAAGGAAGCAATCCGAGAGGACTGGAACAAACAAAACAAGCCCTGAACGGCTCCCCGAGTCGAGATCTCTTCGCGCAGCACTTCTTGCAAGACACGAACTTAGAACAAAAGCATCGTGGTCAGCAGCCAGGAAGCATCAAAATAGCAAACTCGTGAGACTGGAACGTCTGGAGAGCTCAAGACTGTACCCGGAATCTCCACAGACTGTGGCAGCTGAGTCCAAACCCGAGAATCCCCAAACCTTTTTACACAGGCCTTCCTTATATGAAGCTCGCCCGGCCGGGGCCGGCCACTCGCCACGAGTGCGTTGTCGTGCCGCGGGGACACCCTAAACCTAGACTTAGACCCGCCAGATTGCCCAATACCCCTTAATTAAGGAATATACCTTAAATTGTAAGGGGCAAGTCTGAACCTGTCCCTCAATGCCAGCAGAGGGTCTCACGATGCGCTGCAGAAAGTCGGCATCGGAGTCCAGATCTGGTAACTCGATGGTGAAAAACCTTAGTATAAGGGCTTTTACGGTTTCGACTCACACACTCGCACAAAGGCAATAGGGTTTGGAATGTAGACCCAACCCGAAACCCTAAACTGTAGAGTTTTGATACTCGCAGTCGGACAAAAGGGTTTAGGACCAACCCTAGCCAGGTAAGTCTGGGGATTAAGGTTTCGGGGCGCACATTCGGACAAGCCAGGCGAGGTAGTAAACTGGTGAATAGTCGGACGGGGTCAGACATTCCCGAGACTGCTCGACTTGTAGACAGCAAGACGTCCCAGAACCCTAAACCCTTTTTTGAACGAGGTCTCAACCCTGAACCCGACCTCTATAAAACAGTCATTCTTTGAACATCGTTAGCAAGAGTGGCTAGAGGAGCCTCATCGTGGGTATGAAGTAAAATGACAGCCAAATACGAGGCAAGTCCAAGGCGGGACGCCTAGGTATCTGGAGGCTCCTTGTGTGAAATTTATCTGATTTGGGGAAACAGGTGTAATACAGGGGCTTACAACCAGGTTTAGAATTTAGGGTTTAAAGGTTTGGGGAAATTGGAGTTCAGATCGCACGACGCAGGGTTGTTTACCAATTTCCAAAAAACAACACCCAATACCAACACTCACCACCACTTACCAATAAGCTCAAGGGGCCCGACATACACTCACCCGAATAGAAAGCATAGAAAGGCTCATGCACAAGCCTCAGGTAACAAGGTGTGCCTGGCCCATCCTAAACGGTAAAAATACATATTACCAATAATAATAACAATAATATGTACATATATATATATATATATACATATATATATATATATATATATATATATATATCAGGTGGGTGCGTCGGAATACGGGCCCTTTTTTTCGAGTAAAACAGCCTGATTTACAGTACTTCTTAGAAGACAGCGCCCACAATTCAATCTCTGATCAACTACGTACCCAGTGTGTGTCTTTCACGTTGACATGGTGCAAGTCTCGCAGCGATTTCTAGTTGGAGATGGGGTTGTGAGAACAACTCCTTGCCAGCATCGTCACGCACACGTGCGTGTGTCTTCTTGCACAGGCCATGACTCCCGCATGTCGACGACGTACAACAACATGTTATGATGATATGTTCTATCGACAGTTGCATGTCCCTGCGCAAGGATCCCCTAACAAATCGTTTGCTATTGCTTCTCTATCATTGGTGTTGTTTCACTTCTTCATCGCCTTGCTTTTCAATGGACCTTCATGACATTCTTTTTGGGCTTGATGGTCGTGTGGAAGGAAGCGCTGGGGTTCTTAGAGGCAGGCTTGCGAAGGACACGGTTGACCCGTGCGACTTTCTTCATGGCGCTGTATGCATTCAAATGCTTCTTGTAGTTGCGACGGATCAAATCGTTGTGCCTCCTGACATAGACAAGCATGTGGAAGATGTGAGACTCCGTTGCGTTGGTGTTGCGCGCCGAAGCATAGTTTCGGAACCATGCAAAAGTTTGTTCGGCGGCGGACGTGTTGACGTTCTCAAGGCGACGATCAAGCCGTCTATGGACCAGTGGAGAACAAGCGCAACCTGGTGCGTGGGCTTGTGCGTGGAAACGATCAACGCACCAGAATTTGATCTGCTTCAGAACTGCCTCGCGACCAAACTGCTGATAGCATGCACACATGTGGTCGTAGAAAATGCAGTTGATCTGGGGCCCTTTGGAAACAGCGTGGATCAGGATATTCTTAGCCACCGTATTGTTCTCTGGATTTTCCATATTCGTAACTGCCAAGACGAGACCGCTCTGGGGATCCACGGCCATGAACCATCCATTTTGACGCTTTGGCGGATCTCGATCCTTACGCGGTCTACCGGCATGTGCAGGAGGATTGCCAATGCATTTCGCTGCAACCTTCTCATGGCCATCGATCACGATTTCCTGAACTTGCTGCCATTCCCTTTTGGTAAGAACGACTTCATGCCACCAAGACCTGTAGGAGAGTAGGAGCTCTTTGGTCAAGGGGTTTTGCAAGTCGATTGTTCTCAACGTTTTGAGAAAGTGCTCCTTCTGCAGGGAGGACCACGTACTCGAAGCCTCCTGGATCACCATATAGTAAAGCTGAGCATCGGCATATTCTCTGTGCCAGCGGTAGTGCTGTTGAGAATCTTCCCACAATGTCTCGGACTGAGCATACTCGATTGCGTTATTGCTCAGAGGTCCTCGAAACTGTTGTGCTGCATGATAGTCCGGAAGTCGATGGAGAATCCGACCTTGCTATTATTTGATGAAGATGTACTCCATATCTTCCAAGGCCAAAGTGTGGTATTTGTGGGTCCCCTCCCCCCCAAACCCTCAGCCCCCCCCCCCCCCCCCCCCCCCCCCACCTCCCCCCTCCTCTGCGGCCTAGCCATTTTCCAGCACCTTGCGCATGTTTCCTTGTGTGTTTTTGTATCATTGTAGTATACATATAGCCACTAGACACCACGTAAACATTTGCATCTTTCAGTACACACTAGACACGGTAACATAGACACGTTGCACAAGACAACTTGTATGCTGCATGGAGTTGTAGTCAAAAACGCAGGCCCGTATTTCGACGCGTTCAGTATTCACATATATATATATATACATATAGATACATAGAGGTCAGCCTGTACGGAAGGCTATCAGTCTTCAGCCATGATGAAATCAGAGGGCTTGAGGGTTTCAGGCGGGGTTTGTCCCGTCGCTCGTAAAAACCTGCGCCTGCTACTTTAGGGGCCTGAATAACTAGAATAGGGTTTTGGGGCCCATTCTACTATAGTTATAATAGTATAGGAAACTATTTAGGCCGCTATAGTACATGGGGTACGAGGGCCTCCAGTCCTGCACAGGTTGGAATGTTCAGTGATCGCCTGAACGACTAGCATAAGCCTGAAACGGCTCCCGTACTTAGCCCAGGCCCCACAACGCAGTGAAGGAACATGTCAAGTCTTAAGCGATCTCCGGACTCTGACGCTCCGCTCTTCTACTTTGCCACGTCACTCTTTCCAGGGCCGCAGCAAGCCTTCAGAACAAAACAATGCCAGAAAGGGTGAGGCCCAAAGCCGAGGGCCTTCAGATGTCCTTCATTCCAGCTGAGGTTCACAAGAAGCTAAACATAACTGAGCTGATGGGGAAAAGATGTGTTTGTTCCTGCTGGCACTGCTAACCTCGGAAATGGCAAAGCTTGCTGGAAGAACGGGCCGATCCCGAACCGATATCGTTAACTCGCAAGCACATGGCCCCGACAACCGAGCAACAGGACCAAACCTGCAGACCGCAAGCCTGTCTGGGCCATGAAAACTGCTATATCTATATGCGTATGTATGTATATATATATATATATACATTTATGTGTCTGTGTGTATACGTATATATCTATATATTTATATATACATACATACGCAGTTACATGTCGTAAACTCTCTCGCTCTCTATCTCTCTCTATCTATATATCTATATATATATATATATATGTATACGGTATATATATAAATATATTCAATTATTTATTCATATAGACATATTTATATGTGCATATGTACGTATGCTATAAGAAAATGAGATGCTAAATGATGCTAACATCCTATGTGACATGCTGGTTGCTTTCATTAGGCTGCTCCTCCGGCAGACTAAACCTACGAGCGCACATTGCGCGCATGAGTAGTCACGGGTACATGTTTCCTTGTCATCGATATTAACTGATATTAACTGCCTGTCAGTGTGTCTGTCTCTATGCATAGAGACACTGCTCTCTGTTTATGTATGTGTACCCACATGTAACACATGCACTCTCTGTCTCTCTCTCTCTCTCTGTCTCTCTCCCTCTCTGCTTTGTATTACTCTCCTTCGGTCGTTCCCTGCATCACACACTCTACGGTCCAAACTTGCTTTGGAGAGGCTGGTGTAGGGCGCGATCGACACTTCAATCATATTGACCTCCAGACAATGTGCAACAAACGCCAGTGGAAGTCCTGCATGCCCTGCTGCCCTGTGAGCGTGAATCGCACCACGAACCCTGATAATGGCCATGTCTGGTGATCTGCCCGAGGAACGTGTATCCTGGCCTATAGAACCCTCACGCCTGTCACTGGACAGCGGGTTCATTGTGGCCAGCTGCGTCGTTCGTATGTCTACTTGTTTGGACCACAGTGCCGTTCGATAGAAGCTCATGTCGTGAAATTCCATTGCAAAGCATGAAACAGCATGAAACCCATAGTCCGAAAGCCACCTTATCCACACCCAAAGCACCGTGCGGGATGGTTCGGGCAGGTTCGAAAGAAATCCACATGGTAAGTCCTTACAAAGTCCAAAACACGAACTTGAAACTCATAGAAACAAATGAGGTGGACACCCTGGTCTCTAAAGGCAGGGTGCCATCTGCGTCGCATCCTTGATGGCTCGAGCTGAAAAGCTCGACAACTCCTCAGAAGCAAACCGCTCAGGGTTTATAGACTCGTGCAGGAACGTCTTGAAGACTTCTCTAAACAACACACATGTCAGACAATGAAGGATCAAGCCTATGTGTCTGAGAGCCACGTTAAAGTCCGCGATTGCCAAGTATGATCTACGAACACTCCAACCTCGAACGCTAGCAGAACCCTGCGAGTCTCTGCGCTGAGACAAAATGGGACTCTGACCAAGACCAGCGAACCAAAAAAGCAACAACTACTACTAATAATTGATAAATTAATAACTGACCATGGCTATAGTAGTACTAGTAATGGTAGCAATGATAATAATGATAATAATAAAAGTAATGTTGGTGTCGCATCGTTCGTTCGAGTGCCCCACCTAGCGATGTCCCTCTTGAACAGCGTCCGGAAGTTGCTAAAAGCTTTTTTCCATAAGGAAGCTTACTATACTTACTATATTCTCTACATTTCTCTACCTTCTTAAGAAGCCTTTTGCCCGTCAGGCTTGCGTAGTCTCGGTCGCCGGGATCCTACACCCTGAACCCTCAACTCGAAACCCTAGATCTTCAAGAACCCTACACCCTGAACCCTAAGCCCTAAACCCTTAAAGGAATGTTGATAGTAGCCCTTAAAGGAACCCATACACTCGCCCTTAAATTAAAGGGACCTAAGACCCCTTATAGCGACCCCTAATAGCTCCCTTCAGGAGCCTTGTAGCTCGACCCCCTTATAGCTCCCTTTAAAGGGGACCCAAAGCTCCGCCAGGAGGATCCCAGCGAAGTCTGTGACCGTGGGCTCAGAAGGCGCTGAAGGCGCTGCGCTCGGACGGCCCTCCTCCTTGGCTTATAAAAGGGGCTTAGGGCTTATAGGGATTAGGGTTTATAAAAGGGGCTTAGGGTTTAAGGCTTAGGGTTTATAGAGCTTAGGGTTTGTAGGGCTTCGGGTTTATACAGGGGCTTAGGGTTTGTAGGGCTTAGGGTTTGTAAAAGGGGCTTAGGGTTTGTAGGGCTTAGGGTTTATGAAAGGGGCTTAGGGTTTATAGGGCTTGGGGTTTATAAAGGGGCTTAGGGTTTAAGGTTGAGGGTTTATAGGGTTTAGGGTTTATAGGGCTTATAAGGTTTAGGACTTACAGGGTTTGTAGGGTTTACAGGGTTTATCGGGTTAAGGGACTGTCTAGGGTTTGAGGTTTAGGGGTTTTGATCAAGGTTTCGCTATGGTTTCTCATAAAAGGGGTTTTGTGGAGTCGTATATGGGCCTACTTGTTTTTTGGGTTTGGTAAGGGCTTATAAGGGCTCAGGGTTTAGAGGGCTTAGGTTTAAGGGTCTTGTTTGATCAAAGCCATGGCTCCAGTGGCATGGAGTAGAAAGCTACTCTGCCGAAAAAAATATAGGCCCCAATGCTTGAAAGCCATGTGCCCTGTTTGCACCAAGCCTCGTTGTCTAGCAGCCTGGTCCAGCAAAACAACTACCCACTCTATAAGCCCTAACCCTTGATCCTTGAAGTCGATACCTCAGCCCGAAAAAAACGGAACCCTAAACCCTAATAAGAGCCCAAAGCACCTGAGCGTATAAACCATGCATTAGGGCTCCAGTTAATATGATGATGGGTTACTGGGCTTAAGAATTGGAAGAGGGCTCCTGCGAGGGGGCCTCCTTCGTGAATGGGTCTATAAGGGCCACTACAAGGGTTTGAAGGGTTTCTGGTTTTATGGCACAACATTCCACTATAAAGTGGCTGGCTATATATAAGGGGATAGTCATCCTGTTCCTGTTCCTGATTACAGTGGAGCCCTATTCGGGCACGTCACAAGGGAGTAGTAATACTGAGTTTTCAGGCCCCCATATCACTGCGAGGGTCTTGTAGGGTTGTACACACAGAGTGTCGAGAAAGTTTCCCAACACTTTCTCAAGGTTGTACATGGGCATTCGCTGATTTGCTGGCAGGACATGCCTTTGCGCAAAGCATGTGTCGCGACACAATAGCAGTCGATTATGGATTGCCGTGCTGGCAGAGCTTCAAGGCAGCACAAATCCCAACACATCATCAAGGCTAAGTGTTTGCATCATGTCCACACGCGGGACGAAAGCACGCCAACTATGGAGCCATCACTGGCATATCCGCCATAGATCACAGGAGCCGTGACAATTTCGTCGCTGAAATTGAACAGGAAATGCTTTTGGAGCTTGTCACTCATGATCTTTGTAAGCGCTAGAATCTGCTTCTGGTTGCCTGCCTCCTCCGCCTCCTCCTCCTCAGGATCGTCATCATTGAAACCGCAACGGAGTTTGTCCGTCATGTTTAACGTCTCCACAAATGCTGCCGTCCACACGCCGATCATCTCTGGATCTGCCAACATTTTTTTCTCACCGATGGTCTCGTCCTCACACATCTTGCGGATGCCTAATGCCTTGAGGCAGGCCTTCTTTGGATCGGGACCAGGATCGCCTATTACTATGATCTCACCACCATCGCTGCTTTCACTAGAAAGGCAGATTGGGATGTCCCGAAGATCAGGCGCAGCGTTTCTCATGGCATCGGCAACCTCTCTTGCAGCTGCAGGTGCATCGGCAATGTCGGCGTGCTTCCCCTCTTGCTCTTCATCCACCAAACACTCATCCCCACACATCCAGTCGTCCCTCCGCTCGGCAAGCTGGGTTCGCGAGCAGGGATCCGAGAGGTAGAGGACGGGTACGCGATCTAGCGTTGCGTTGAGTACAACAGCCCTGGTCGCGAGGTCACGAGCCGGACACCTGGCACGCGCTGCACTGCGGCCCAGGGCAATAAGCGCAAAGCCACCGCCGGCAGAGGTGCAAGACCAGCAGCATGCAGATCCTCTCGAGACCGCACGCCTTGCAGGTCCAGCGCCGCGAGGATGGCTGAAGCCTCCACGCAGACTGCAGAGAAAGCTCAAGCCACTTGGGCTGCCGCAGCTCTTCGTAACTGGTGGGAGCATTGTGCTACCGCTTGCTCTTGCTGCGAGCATGAATCTTCGAGATGCAGGATCGATGATCGACTGCATCGTGCTCGTATCTTGCTGCGCCTATACCACCTAGCATCGTCTAATTATAGGATTGTGGGATTATCTGCTGCGGGTGCATAGGGGCGAATCCTGCCTGCCAAAACTGGAACGGATGAATACAAATACGGCAATGGTCTTGCCATCTTGGGCATGCGGGAGCGAAGTGTGCTTCCTCAGAGCCAAAAACCCGAAACCATCAGTCGTTGTATTGCTAGGGAACAGTGGAAGCTCTCAACCGGCTTCGACGGGGGACGTAGGGCCCTCTCCGTTCCATGACGATCAAAGCATCTGTTTGTTCAAGTTTAGTCCGCACGCGCTAGAGTCGAGCAACATGACGCAAAGAAAACCACGTTCACTGAACACTAAACCTGGTCCACTGCGGCGCTTCGATCAGTACGGTTGCATCTCTATCAGCCGTATTCTAAACCTAGCACAGGAGCTTCTCTCAGTCTGGCCCTGAAGATGCGCACACCTCACCTTCAGCCCCAACTTTCGAGTTTTGGAACGCCACCTGACCCCGCTTTGCAGCCAGCACACCACCATGCAGACAAGCGCGCTGATGCACCAAGCAGGTCTCTTTTGGCTACTGCGAGCCCATAAGGCAATCGCCCTGCGGTTGTCGTCAAGCCGAGATGGGGGGGGGAATGGGGGGGATATGTGTGAGTAGCAGAAGGAGGTAGGTGTGCGACGTCGAGCACATGAATTGCGACTTTTGTGTTTGTTGCATGGGCTGTGGCTTGAATTCGGTTTCGTTTTTGTTATCGGGTGTTCGTCTTATCCGGCAGCAAGCCTGCAGAGCGAAGACATGTATTGTCGTATGTATGAAGACCAGGATATGCGTCATGAATTTGTCTGCCTGACAAGGTAACTTCCTTGCTGCATCATGATGGACCATGTCAACCTACATGCTGCACCTCCCAAACGCCTTGACAACAAATTGTTGATCATTGTGCTCCTATGTAGCCAACCAGCCACGGCTAGAAATCCAGACTCAAGACTCTCAAGACTCATTTGCTTTTTGCGAAAGAAGCATGCCGCGAACAAAGCAGGCGAAAGTACTGACTTTTGGAGCAGTCGCCTGCAATCAAACCGGCCTCATGGGCAAACAAGCTGGACCTGCATGCACCACGACACTGCCTTCAGGGGCTTACCTAGACACAACTATATGGAAGTCTCCTTTCGCCAGCACTGTCCTGGCAGTCCCCGCACACCGAAGCGCATAAAATGTGCTTGGGCCAAATCCGTTTCTGGATCGTGGCGGGAGAACAAAGCCAATGGCACGACTGCACAGGATGCTGATTATACTAAGTTTACTAAAAATATGGTATGATATCATGTTTCGCTAAATATTGTTGTGATAGATTATAGTCTCCCAGCTCTTGTTTTTGAACCCAGGCTCTGATCCTGTTCAGCTGGGAAATCGGCCACACTAGCTCCTGTAGTTCGGAAAGGCAGTCAGGAAAGCAGCCACTCCGCGATTCCTTAGTACTCCAGGAACAGCTTAGCCTAGCAGCTGTGCGCACATCAGCAATTAGGCACAGCAATAAGGAATCCCAAAGAACAAGATCTAGCTGGTGCTTTCAGGAGAAGCAAAGGTTGCTAGTTGTGACCTCCTTCCACCCTTACAAGCGTGTTTGACGGCTCATGCATGTATAGAGACATGCATGGTCATGAAGGAATGACTGGCTGGACACGCGGAAGAGTGCATGCAGCGAATGCGTTTATACCTGCAGAGGCACAGATGTTTCCAAATCAGCGAATGAGGGAACGACAAACAAACACACCTCAGACAGTATGCTCACGCAAACACACCTATCTGTCTATGCATCTGTGTGTCTATCACTCTGTGTATATGTATGCATGATTATGCATGCACGCTGTATGCATGCATACCTATACACGCCTTCACATATGCACCATGCGTTTGTATTGAACTATCTACTTATCCACTACTGGCCTATCTTGACACATGCATACATGTACCCTTTTTGAACGAGGTCTCTCCGAAGTGCCTCCAAGTTGCCTACATGTATCCTAAACCCTAAGACACACTACACCCATGCACCCTTTTTGCTACTGGACTCAAGTACCTGTAAACTAAACGCTAAAGGTTTTATCTACAAACACTTATAGAATCCCTATAGACCCCTTTAAAGACACTCTTAAAGGAACCCTCGTAAGAAACACACCCCGATACAGCGTGGCTCGTTCCGTGCCCTTTCAAAGCAGCCCAGGATCCACTGCAGCGACTCCGAAGCCTGGGCTTGCAAGCAGATATCAAGGTCACTATAGCATAACTCTATATAACAGAACCCATGATGTAGTATATGGTATATACGTATATGTTTATACAAAAACTACAAACATAAAATATATAGCCTCAAAACATATTATAGCATATGGTAAAAGGTTTTCAAGCCTACGCAGATATTTGATACCTCTGTGGCGGGCGGGCCCAGCCAGCCAAGTCTCTTTACAACGGTGAACCTGGTGCTTTCTATACATGCAGAAAATGTTGAACAGAACTTTTATACTACCTTCATGGCCTTGGGGTTCCGCCGCCCCTACTTATTTAAACAACTTCACCGTAATATCATGTCATAAGATACAGCATAACAGGATGGAGCGGACTAGAAATACAACAGAGTGAAAAAAAGATAGAATAGGTTAAGAATATAGGGGGCTTTACGGTTCAGGGCTTGGGGTCTTCATTGCAGGGCTTAAGGAGGTTCAGGCACTTAGGTCGGTGGCATTTCATAGCTTATCTTCGGAGCTGCACTGGATCGGCCTGGTGCATTGCTGCTACTGGGCCATGCAGACGTATCGTGTCAGGGCTTGAGTCTAGTAAGACTGTTGGAGTCTCAGCGTTTAGGCGATTAAGCTTCAGGAGTAACCGCAAAAATTGAGGGGTTAGACCTATAGTATAGTATGGTATAGTATAGGCGCATACTCTTCGGCACAATCACACAAAGCTTCGTTTCTACATGTAGCTGGCACGATTCGCTCCCTGGCGAGTACTTTCCGAAGGTGTCGAAAAGGTATAGTAGCCGAAGTGCGATGCCCTCATTGGGCTGCTTTGCATGTTATTTATTCAAAGCCTATGCTACAACGTAACAGGCTCGTGTCTCGACCAGGCTCGTGTCTCGACCCTACAACCTTTCGGTGCTGCGTCTCCGCGCGCGCACATCGACCCTCTACTAACTTGAAGTCTGGCCGCCAGCCGTCGCTTCTCCGAATCGGTCGCCGGGGGCTGCACAAGCCCGACGGTGAACGCGTCACTACCTGCACACGGAGGGTTCGGAAAAGTGCGTCTCATGGAAAACTGGCGGCAACAGCGAGTGTGCGCGCGATCTCACCCAAATGCGTGAAGCCAAGCCGTGAAATTGTAGTCCAATTCCACATATGTTGATAGCCTGATAGTGGGTATGCGTGGCACCTAGCTTCCGCTGATAAAAGCCCAATTCTTTGACGGAAAGAAACGAAAGCTCAGGACCTCCTCATGAACGAATCGGTACATCGGTTGCATTGAAACTGACCGGTCACAGGTTGTTTTCTCCAACATGTTGCTATCAGACTGTGCACCACGGCAAAGTTGCTTCCGTTCGAGATCTATTGCGAGTCGGTCTGCCAACTAAGGTCCTGCGCACTGGAGCCCAAGATCTGCAACAACCGTCGTCAACCATTCAGGGGTTCAAACTTCCGAATATATATATATATATATATATATATATATATATATCCAACTCCCGATGCACTGGACACAACTTAGTTCAATGCAAGCGGTACTAGCAGCACGACCGACGGCCCGCATGGAGGTCCACGGTCGTAAATTTGAATCTCAAACTAAGTGGCAGGGAAACAAACCGACAAAGGCCTGGCCCCATGGCGATGTGGTTGTGGGCCTTTAAGTTTGCCACTGCTACAGACTCCACCGAGGAGCTGACAAAGCAATGCCAGCAAAGCAACCAGGAGGCTTCCGATGGTCCAGGGCGGCTGCCAGCCCTTGCAGCGACAGAAGGCTCGGCCAGACCCCATGAAATGCAGGGTTTCGACTGCCACATATGTTCTCTCACCAGTTCGCTCTTTTTCAAACACACTCTGACTACTTGCTTACGTCTTGCGGGGGTCTAGCTGGAAGATCGCATTCTGTCGAAGTGTCAGCTCTCGGGTGGAGAGAAGCTCACAGAACCCAGGACCTAGGTCAGCTGCCACGATAAGGAAATCACAGCATTCACGTTGAGCGTTTTACACACAAACACACACACACACTGAAAAAACATCTTTCCGCTTCTTTGAGTCTTTCGGAAGTTTTCAAGGCCCGAAACCATCGTAGATGGATTAGAGGCGGGTCGTTAAGATTGAACCGGTAATGAAGTGCCAGTTGCTCAACATGCTACTACCTCTTAAGACTGATCATGGGTCCAAAGTTCAACTAGTCGGTTCTACTTGTAGAGGTTTCTGGTGAGTGTCTTACAGTGAGCCTCGGATCCTAAACACACCATCGCCCACCTCTGGATGGTAGTCCAACTGTGTTCGGCAGAGCCAAGTGTCGACCTGGTAGCGGCTTCTGTCAGAGCTCGGGTTGTAGGGCTGTAGGGGCTGTAGGAATGCACTGTGACAGCTCGATGGCGCCAAGTCGAGTTTCGGCTCTTGCGCTGGAAGTGCCGATGCGCTCAAAGGTCGTGCTCGCCGACATACAGCCGTTCCGAGGGCACGGAAACTACTATACATTACCGTGGATTACAGGTCTATGGAGCCATTTGTTTCGTCAAATCAAATGTGCCGACCATGGTTGAGGCTTCGGCTCAAAACCGAAATCTTCAAGCCCGTCACGGGCCTGGAATCTGCCGGTGGGAGTGCGAAACCGCACCAATGGTGGCTCGAAAGGATACTCCTGCAGCGGCCCACTTCAAGCTCCTAATGGTCCTAATGCATGGAGGGATGCTGCAAGCTCAAATCGCAGGTTCAAAGCATGCACATGCAAATTCAGAACACAAGACTTCAAGGAAGCTCAGCTTTCAGTGATCAACCCGCCAAGCGCTCTCCTAAGGCTCTGCCTCGGCATAATACATTATTTACGTCATTGTAGTAGATCATACCATGTTATAGTATATTATACTACAGCATGCTGTACTAGATTATGCTGCCTATCTTATTACAACATATCTCTATCCTCAACATTGTTACATGTTACAAATTATAAAACTACAGTTCGAATATGCATATATACGTATATATATATATATATATATATACATACATTATGACCACGCACACACACACACACACACATTATAATGTGCATGCACGCATCATACATACGATTTTGCATATCTAGGCTGATGGGGTTGAGGCCGGTCCTTCAGCATCTCAATCTGCCCCCAATACACACCGCCGGCATACGATGTGTCTGGTGGCCCTTGGCTGCAGAACAGAACTCCGAGATTTGAGGGCAATGGCCTGGTTGCTTGTTCTTTTTGCTTTCTGCCTCTCTCCCTCTCCGTCCCCCTCTTCCTCTCTCTCTCTCTCTCTCCCTCCCTCCCTCCCTCCCTCGCTCCCTCGCTCCCTCGCTCCCTCGCTCCCTCGCGCTCTCTCTCTCTCTCTCTCTCTCTCTCTCTCTCTCTCTCTCTCTCTGTCTCACGCTCTCTGGCACGCGCATCTCTTCATCCATTGATCGATCCTTCCATCCCTCCATCCTCAGCCTCAGACAAACAGACCGACAGAGAAAGACCCACAACCCTCCGTCCATCACATACGTGCATGCATATTTACACACATGCATGCATGCACGAGGGCATACCCACACAGTTACACAGATACATAAACACATACCTACATTCTTACCTACCTACCCACCTACCGACCGACAAACAGCGTCGCCTTTGCCGTCAATTGCCCGACACCAAACCGCAAAGGATTTCGTGTGGGAGCAGAACCCCAGAACGTCAACACCACAACCTGTGGGCTTGCAGGCCTTCGATCACGAAGTGCCATTTGGAGATGGCGGAATCCGGGCCTAGAGGCTTCATGGCTTCTGTCTTCAGAGGCCTGGAGCCACAAGGGGTTAGTGACCTAGACCTCCACTTCGAGAAATGCCAGCATCCCGGCTGGCGAAGCTCAATGAAACAGTTGTTTTGCACTTCCGGTTCGGAGCTGGGTTTGGGAGGTGAACCTGGCGAGACCAACTATGGCCCACTATGGAGCCGTAGATTTTTCGGTACAGGTATGCTTGCTGTTCTTCAGAACAAACTGGGCGATAAGGTCAGCATCATTCCATACGCCACCCCGGTAAAACTCGGAGAGTCCAACCTCGAGACAGCTCAACTCAATCCAAAGCAATCATCCGAACTAGCACTGCAACATATTTCTATTGCAACACTCTTGCTCCACCCAGTGAACCTGATTTGGAACTGATTGCAATACTTTCGCTTGCTGCGGATTGCTCTGCTGGGGTTTCATTGGGCTACCAGTTCTCGGAGTTGTCAGCCTCGAGTTGTTGAGGTGTTTGGGCTAAACCGAATTTCTTAATACGGTGTATTTTTGGACTATTTTTTTCCTAACTGCTGCTCCAGGCGGCTCTTAATGCGGTTTAGGGTTTAGGGTTATGGTTTGTTCATTGAAGTTATTCATGCTCTAACTCTAGCGGCTGAAGTCTTGGGCACATCCTCACCAGAGCAGGCACATCCCAAAGCTGCCCCTTCTTAATCCATCTCTTCCTCCCCAGAACAGCAGCCCCAAAGTAGCTGATCGAATCGTCCCTAGACTGGCTTGAAGGACTTCCTGAACCCTAAAACTGAACTTAGGATCATTCCTTTTTTCGGGGGGAGGGGGGGGGACCGTATAGGGCTCCAGGTTCAGGGAAGCCTTAACCCCATCCTCCAAGCCGAAACCCTCCCGCGCTGAACCCTGAAACCCAACCCTCAACCCTGAGCACGTAATCCTGAACCTTAAACCCTAAACCCCTAAACTCCGGAAACCTAAACCCCCCTAACCCCTAAACCCCTAAACTCCCAAGATTTCCTAAGCCCTAACCCCCTAAGCTCCCAAGATTTCCTAAGCCCTAAACTCCTCTACAACCCAGATCTGGGGTCCGAAAAGGTTGCTGCACAGCGGCAGCTCACCCGAATAAATGGGGGAGGGTCCTGGCAGCAGATGCTTAAGCCTTAAAGAAGTCCCTATATAGGTACTTTAAGGCCTTAGTATATACTATATGGGTACATGGAGCCACAGGGAGGCAGAAATCTCTAAGGACTCTTGGGTTTCGAGCTCATACCCTACCCCTTTTTCAGGATACCTAGTTCTATGGTTAGGATCTGTTATCTTAAAAAGTAGGCGCCCTAAACAAGGGGTCGGGTATGAGCCTCTAGGTAGCGCCTTTAGGAGGTTTGGATGTAGGGTTCGGCTCTCAGACTCGGAATAAGCTTAGCTAGCCAATGGTTTGAGGGTTCCCTTGGCTCTTTAGCTCCTTATGAAGTAGGGAGTATCATCACCCCTGGCTCCTTAGCTCCTCCAATATAATATCAATGGTTAGTTAGGATTCGGGGTTTAAAGGGGTCGTCTCTCACTCTCGCACAAGGCAACCAAGGCTCCGCACAGGTCGGACAAGCTAGGTTCAAGGGTTTTACAGGGGTTTGGGGCAAGCTGAAGGATCGAAAACACCGAATTTTGTGCCTGGATTCTCCGATTCCCGCAAAGTCGGCTGCCGTGATTTTTGATCTTGTCGTCTCAAATTGCCGACTCTGCACCCGGGCGTGCATGTGACGTCCTTCCGAAGTCATGGTAGCTTCGTAAATACCGTCCAGGTGTTGAGGTTCAGCGAGCCAGAACGGCGGCCAATTCTTGAAGGCCCAAGACTTCCCTACCCAAACCCTAAACACCAAACACCCCCAACGTCAGAGATGAACGATTTCTTGTTCAGCTTGCTTTACCAGCGAATCTCATAGTCCTAAACCCACTTTATAGCGTAAACATCTGCGATATTGAAAACTCGAATTATCAATCCGAACTTGGTAAGGAATCCTTGTCGTTATTGAAGACTGGAAAGGAACCTACATAATTACAAGATAACCGGATGTGGTGGATATGATTCCGTACCCTCACCGACTAACCGCGGCAAACTTTAGACTCGTGCCCTTGTCCTTAAACCCTAAGCCCTAAAACCCTAAACCCTAAAACCCTAAACCCTTTAACCCTATAACCCTAAACCCTAAAACCCTAAATCCAAAATCCCCAGAACCTTCCCTCTCCTTGGTCACCACCTCCAGTTCCCGACGCAAGCGCTGCACCGCGCCCTTGGACGGGGCACCTCGCGGCCTGCAGAAGCGGTACAGCGGACTTGGAGTGGCAGGGGACTTAGTAAGCCGTTTATAAGCAGGGTTATAATTGGGGTATCTCCATTTAAGGTACTTCTAACTCTACTTATAACCTGCTAGCTAAGTCCCCTGCCCCTCCAAGGGGGGTTTGGAGCCAGGAGCGCTCAGGAATTGTCATGCTTTTCCTTGCCTCCTCTACTTGTCTAAGTCTCAGGCTTGCATTCAGAAAGTTTAGTTTAGAGAATAGGGTTTAAGGTTTAGGATTAGAGTCCTTGGTCCTGGAATGAGGACGGCTTCCTGGCAGCTTTCATCGGAGAAGGCCATAAGGATGCAGCCCAAGGTGCATTCAGGCGGTTTAGGGTCTATAGGGCTTAGGATTTAGAGTTTAGGGCCTTAGGGGCTTATGGGGCTTAGGGTATCCGGTTCGGGTTTAGAGTTTAGGGTCTGTGGGTGAAGTCTTAATGACCTTTTGAACCCGGAGTTTGCCAATCAGCTTTGAACTAAGTCCTTTACTGTACCAGCCCCCCATAGTAGTGGAAGCCTAAAGCCTTGGAAACCGTAACTTTCGCTAAACCGTCCTTGTTATAGCACGAACCGTCCTAAACATTAAACCCTGAACCCAAGACAAACCAGGCCAAACATCTGATGTTCGCCACGATTTCATTTCCTACTCCTGATCACAAGACTCTCTGCACCGTTAAGATGGCCATAATCCGTCTGGTTCTTAGTGGGGACTGGGGGAATGGGTTATGGGGACTACTATAGGGGACCTTTTGGGACAACAAAAGGGATCCATTCCCCCATTCCCTACGAAGTAATGGCAGCCCTGGTAGGCTCCCGATAGCTCTGCCCGGCCAATGCTTGAAGGTGCTCGAAGATCCTACTTACCACGGTTGATGATGTAAATCCTGCATTACCTGAAGGAGCTTAAACTATGGGAATTATGGTATATTCCTTAGTGTGGTTACTGCAGGGTGTATATCATCAACCGTACTTTCTTGCCGCTGTCGATGCCTGGCCGTTTCTCATGTACTTTTGCTGTTAGATTGTTCGGGTTCCAAGTTGGCTAAAGCCCTTGGTTAATAGAGGGGCCTGGGTGATTACCAACACTATCCCCATAGGGTCCTGATTCTAATTGTACTACAATAGTATACCCCAACATACAAGTCAAATCTAATAATCCAAGCCCCTATACTAAGCCCTGATCATGCACTTTAGTAGAAACCCTTATAGACCCCTTTAAGGAACCCTCACAGTACCGACGCCTAGTATGGAAGCCTAAACAATCACCAATATTATTGTTATGGTTCCTTACTATAACTAATATTATAAGATACCACCCCGAAACCCTATTCTAAATATAATAGTATAAGATACCCCCCAAACCCTATTCTAAATAATAAAGCCCCTATAGCATTCCTACTCCCAAGGCCCCCTGATGATGTCCGACGAGGGCCCTTAAGGGCGCCTCTTCACCAGGTCCATGTCCACTGCGGCAGGACCGGCCCAGGAGTTGTAGTTATCTAGTACCTGAACAAAGGGGTTTAGGCTTCATTTCGGGTTTAGGGTTATCTAGTAGCCGGGTTTGTAGTTATCTAGTACCTGAACAAAGGGGTTTAGGCTTCATTTCGGACTTAGGGTTATCTAGTAGCTGGGTTTGTAGTTATCTAGTACCTGAACAAAGGGGTTTAGGCTTCATTTCGGGTTCAGGGTTATCTAGTAGCTGGGTTTGTAGTTATCTAATACCTGAACAAAGGGGTTTAGGCTTCATTTCGGATTTAGGGTTATCTAGTAGCTGGGTTTGTAGTTATCTAGTACCTGAACAAAGGGGTTTAGGCTTCATTTCGGGTTTAGGGTTATCTAGTAGCTGGGTTTGTAGTTGTCTAGTACCTGAACAAATGGGTTTAGGCTTTTTTCCCTCCCACATGGCTTAAAGATTCAGGATTCACAACTTTGGGGCTTATGACTTCCAGGTGGGTTGAGGCTGTAGGGCTTGCAACTCTAATGATCGTCCTGCAACAAGAGTACTGAAGTGAAACCATAACACCTTTTGTGTGAAGCAGGGCTCTATACAGCCATGCCTGCGCCTGCAACCCAGACCGTAACAACCCTTTTACACCTGGACTATGCGTATGCCAGGAACCGAGGGTAATAACCCTAAACCCTAAACCCCAACCCCTAAACCCTAAAAATGAAGTCCTAGGTCAAAGTTGGCTTCTGCCGAGGCCCGGGCTGCACTGTGAGGAATGTACCTCAGTAAGTCCGTGAGACACGGATTTTTTCCCTGCTACTTAGGGTTTAGGGTTTAGGGTTTGAGACAGGGATTCAGAAGTCTGGGTTCAGCATCGGGGCTCTACCCCTCCTACTTAGCATCAGGGCCATTATCAGGGGCTAGGGTGTAGGAAAGCAGCAACATGCTGATTCCCATCCGCTTGATGACACACTCGCGGCAAGCTGGCTTGGTTGTCACACCATCTCTCTTCGACAGATCCGGGCTGAGGCTGGGAAAGAGTCAACCGGGACAACGCTTCAATTGCGGCGCCCCGCCCCCTAAAGCGACACAGAACCGTCATGAAACGACGAACCCTAAACCCTAAACCCTAAACCCCTAAACCCTAAAAAAAAACCTCTAAACCCCTAAACCCCTTGCTGCAGGCTTGCTTGCAAGGACGCCTGGTAGTTAAACCCCTAAACCCTAAACCCCTAAACCCCTACAGTCCCAAGGCCCCCGACGCATGGTGCGCACCGACGCAGCGACACCTCGCCACGCCACCGGGGCGCGCCTGCCCAAATGCTCGAGGCTCTAAGCTGAGCATCGGTTTCGGAGGCTCTAAAGGTGGTTTGGGGATCCTTACAGGGATCTCTGGGGTTCCTTAAATGGATCTATAGGGTTTAGGGGTTTATGAGGCAAAGGACCAGCGGGCATATGAGTGATCATAAACTATGATTTTAATGAGGATACGATCAGGAAGTATGATGAGGTCCAGGTCATGTCGGGCATAATATAGCATCTTTGGATACCCTAGTCTGTCTCTTTGATGCAATTGCGCAGGCAATTGTTTAGGACCGGGCATCAGAAGCTCCTTTTGTATAAGAGTGTAATGTGCAGATAGTCATGCCAGAGTCTATCGAAAGGCTCTATTTGCGGCTTTTTCTGTGACATGTGGACTGTTGGGCTGACATGGCTACAGTAGTAGATCTGCGTTTGCCAGTTGATGCAATGCAGCAAGTATCGCGAGCAACAGGTACTGACACTAGGCGATTTGACTCCCTTAATCCGGAAGGAGCTCATGTCAAATACCCAGGCTCTGTTGAAATTAAGATAGCTGCGCCGCTAACTTCATTACATGCTCTGCCCAAGAGCCTCCATGCCACAGCTGAAGCAGAACATGGACCTCGGCCATCGAAAAAGAAGCTCATGCACCACAAACATGAACTCCCCCCTAAACCCTTTTGCTACTGGACTTGCCCCCTTAAACCCTGAACCCCTAAATCTTAGAATCCCCAAGAAGGGCCCTTGACTGGTCTCCATGCCAAAATCCCTAAAGGGGAGCTCCCTCTGGCCCATAAACTCTAACCCTGAACCCCAAACCCTTGTAAACCCTGCAAGCAAAAGCCTACTAGTGGGGCCTTAATAATTAGAATGGGGTCTGGGGGCCCACTCTGCTGTACTATATAATAAAGACTTACTAAAAAAACAAAAGGAGTATAGGCGATTACCCCTATATTAACTGAAGGCTCTGAGCAGTTGGCCCACATCGGCAGGTCATCTTATCACATCCTGTGAGCAAGCCATCAGCCTGGTCGGGAACAGAGAGGCTGCATACTGAGGGTTCTCTACTCTACTAGGGGTTTAGGGTTTAGGGGTTTACGCTCTCACCAGGGGAGGATCCATAGGTGCGGGTCGGCGTGAGACTGGAACTTCAGACTATCAGTTGTCTACAGATGTGCCCATACTGAAAAGCGAAAAACCCAAGCGCTCAAGCAAGATTAAAGCTAGCCTGTGTTCAGGGCACTGCTTTAAGTGCACCTCTTCTGAGCAAGTAGAGATCTCTCGGCAGAGGTACAGCGGGCCGATGCACCACTAATTAGTGCAGAAAAAACATTGCCAGTGCGGGTTTAGAGGTGTAGGGTGTAGTACTAGAATATAGGGATCAAAGATGGTGTATAGTTAACATTATATCACCGTCTATCGTAAAAATGTTAAATGCCCGGCGCCTTCTGAAGCCATGTCGCTATAACAGTGACTACTACACCAGGAATTAGAACATGGCATCAACAACGGCAGCACTCAAGACAAACACATCCCAAAAGTCATAGTAGCAGTCGAAAAAGCAGTTCTGGGTGTCAGAATTGTAGTGACCAGCATAGCAACAATTCAAAGTGACCCCTGACTATGATCTCGAACGGCCGAGGAAGCGACAGTTGAACGAACTAGCAGAGCATGACAGGGAATCATCCTCAGTTCAACTTTTCCATTTCGCCATCATTCAACATGTACGGATGAGGAGTGCCTAGGGCCGGGGTCCTCAGAAACAGGGTGCTGTGGGGTACTTGTGGCCTGCTTCTGAATCAGCACGAGGCATCGCGGGCACTGGCGGATGCCCAGTCGCTTCAGCTCCTTGCGACGCTGGAGTAGGCTCCGGTTTGTTAGCCTCGGGTGCACAAGACACCTACTATGTGAGGAGGGGGTAGGTGACAAGCCTTGCAGGTCAGGATTGGGGATTTGGACTACGATCGCAGCTCATGCCTTGTGCGCCAACCGGCTGACAGCTCAAGGAAGAAATCAGCTGCCGCACACAGAACCCCATAGCGAAACCAGCCCCTCCGCCTTGCCAAACCCCGAAATCTGAACAAAGATCGTGCCCCTCTGCACCTGAACCTCTTGTGACGAGAGCTGGCTTTCAGAGCTGGTCCTGCATCATCAGCCAATGAATTCTGTCTTGAGTAGACGAGTTCGGGCAGGGAAGGGGGGGGGGTCTTCAGGGCTGAGTACCCTAGCTCAGAAAAGGTTAACCTTCTCAACTGTGGTAGGGTTACAGAAGCCCCAAAAGGTTAAAGTTTAAATGCTCTGCTACTCAGGGGTCCGGGATTCCTGGCCTCGGGCACAGCCTAAAGACCGAACGAGTCCGCTGCATTGCCTTTTCAGAGAGCCAGAAGGGAGCGGGTTTCCAGGCGACCCTTCCTGTCTGGCGGTTTCATCCACTTCTAGTTCTATCTTGTCTACTTGTTGTGTTGGAGTTGGTCTTGTGAAGAGCTTGTGTTCAGCAGAGTCCTGCAACAGAAGCAGGCCGACCGAAACCGCGAATTCTGCCAAGAAGCCTAATCACCACCCACCGCAAATGTGAATCCCCAGAGCCCTGCAAAACCAAACAAACACACACTGTGACACACACACAAACACGCATATATATATATATATATGTACACACACATATGCATATATATATGTGTGTGTGTGTATATAGATTTCGCCATGGTGTGGATCCGTCCTTTGAGCTCAAGAAGGGCCGATCGAAGAGAGATGGAACCATGCTGCAGACGTCTATGTACCGGTCTTTAGCGTGGCAAGAGATGCGAAGGCAATCGGGATATGGAAACAGAATAGCCCAACATCTGCAAGCTAATCGAACCTCCTTCTGAATCACGGGGCATATAGGCTGATAGAAGATTAAACCATTTAACCGAAAATGACATTCTGAAAGCAGTAGGATCAAACACTCAAACGACCGATCGCTCCTCGAACCGAGCTCTTGCTGCAAGCGCTGTGCAGCTGCGATCTTCACAGCCGCTGATTCGTCGAGACAGGACGACAAATCCTGCTTGGAATTTCGATCAGGGAGTTTCCGAAAATGTGGTGACACTAATATAGTACGCTAAATAGTAGGATCCTTGTTACAAGGACCCCCCAAAAAAGAGGTAGCCCTAATTTTCGGAAACCCCCAAGAGAACCCGGTGGACTGAAGCGGATGGGAAGCTTCAGGGCTCACGGTGGCTGGGTTTGACTTAGGGTTATAATTACGGAAACTACACTTATATGGACTTATATTCCCATTTAGGGAACTTATAACTGAACTTACTAAGTCCGATGAACCTCCAAGTATTGCTGCCTGGGCCTTGGGCTTCAGTTCACGATGCTAAGAAACTCTCCGAAGGGTGGGATACAGCAAGGTCAGTCCTCCCAAATGCCATCACAGGTAGGCAAGGGACACCTGCGGCGAGTATGTCGGACTTCCGTGTCAGAAATTAGGCCTTAAGGATGCTCAATCCAATGTATCCACGCTTTCTGTCTCGGGATTCTGCGTCCTATGATGAGCTTGGTACCTGCATCAGGTCTTGGATCATGGTGAGGGGCCTTGATGTTCTCATTCGGACCGCATCGAGTTGAAGCACAGGAAAACTCGTCCCCGTCTTCTGCTTCGCGAGACATTTAGCGCCTGGTGCGCATGCTGTCTGCTTACTTATATAACATATAGAGTCCCATGTAAGACCTCTCGAACCGCATTTGCTGTAATCTGCGTTGACTTGCTGAGTCGCGCATCTTTTTCTGGTAGCACCAACGCGCTCAAGCTGCCCAACTCTGCACCGCAACCTTTGCAACCATCGGGCAAACAAACATCAACGAACGGCTCGTTCCCCCTCGACGCCGTTGCCAAATTGTGAAAGGCGTGACTTGAATGCCCAAGTTGTTATCGACCATCAAGAACCGGCGTCAGCAGATGGTCAGCGTCCGTTGGGTCACGGACAATTTTCGGCTACAAGCTTGGAGGTCTTCTGCTTCTTGGTGGGCTCCGCGTCCTGCACTGATTGCACTGCCGTCTGTAGTGGCCTCTTTGTCTTGTTCGCATGGGCTTGGGCTTTGGCTTCCAGCTCGGCGATGAAAGTGTTGACGATGCTGCTATGGATGTTGATTCCCCGCAGCACCGGCAGTCTGCCTGACACGCTTTGCACTTACTTGCCTCATCTGGCTTACATGCATAGGGCACTAGACAAGTGCCCGAAAGCACGAGTGCGACATCCGTGCTTCCCAGTGTCGCGGCCTTTTGCGGCTGGGCCGGACATGGGTTCCCAGCCACTGTTGCTAAGAAGCTCTTCCTCGCTATGCATGAGACTCCGTCAGACTCAGACAAAATCCGATGCTGTGGATCAGAAATATCAAACTGGCCTTCGGCAGGGATAGATGTTCTGCCATCACTTGCCAGATCTTGTCGAGGGGATCTGTGTCATAAACTTTGACCTGTTTTATCAAATCTGCGGTCGTCGCGCTGGTTCTTTTCACTAAGCCTGTTACAGCTGTGAAGCCACCAATGAACTCAACCCAGCAGCGTTCACAACAGTTGTCTTCAAGATGTGTTGCTATTGGCCAGTCTAGTGCGGGACAAGTGAGCCATGCTCCATCCTTGGCAACCATCTGGGAGTTTCCGAAACTAGGGGATCCTAATATAGTACTCTAAATAATAGGATCCTTATTATAAGGACCCCAAAATAAGGTACCCCCCAATTTTCGGAAACTCCCATCTCACATCGGTCATGCGACTGCTTGTCATCGCAGTATTCACAAGTCGTCGCCTGGCAAACAAGCTCGAGACAGTCCTCGCAAATGCTCTCGTAGCACCCGCACCCTGTTGCTTCTGAGCAAAAAGACATGACTTCCCCACATTCAGCACAAAAGTCTTCCGCCACTGGGCTGAGAAATCGACAAAGTACCTCCGCGGCGTAAAGCCACGATCTGGCATCCGGCTGATTTGACTGGCTCGTTGCTGTGAGCCCTCGACGGCACTGCGACGTAGAATCATAATTACAAAAATGATGCACCATACGGTTGATGATAAATCCTGCATTACCCTAAGGACCCTAGACTATGGGAATAATGGTATCTTTCTTATTATGGGTAATGCAGGATTTATATCATCAACCGTACAGTCTGCAAATCGGGTCTGAAATACGACAGAGCGCCCGGCTTTGCGAAACTTCCAAAACGGAAGGCCTGGACCCTACAGGGTCACGCCAATCTCTGGAAGACCTGAACCCCCAAAATGACAAGCCCACCCTGAATAATGAGCAACATTGCTCCTTAGAGTTCTTGACTACATTCATAACATGGCATACACCGAAACTCTACTCTTGTCATTGAGGCACCTATATGTTTGGCTCTGGGACTGCCTTCCCGATGATCTTGACTGCCCCCTCTTAGGGCTTACAAATGTTCACATACTTAGGGGCTGAGTACCCTAGCTCAAAAAAGGTTAACCTTTTCAATGCTGGTAGGACTACATAAGCCCTAGGTTAAAGGTTACCTACACAGCTACTAAGCATACCAGGACCCTCCTGGTACCCTCAAATAGGGGTATATGGTCCCAAATAAGAGGCATTTAGGGTCTAATAGAGGGTTGATGGAGGGTCTAGGTAGGGTTTTGGAATTTTTGACCCTCACAGCCGTGCAGGCCAGGCAAGGGGTTTCGACCCGCACAGGCTGGCGAACAAATCCGCCCCGGGAGAATTCCGAAAATTCGGGGTACCTTAGTCTGGAGCCTTATTCATAAGAATCCTACTGGTTAGGGACTACTATATTAGGGTCCCCGGAATTTTCGGAAACTCCAAGGCAAGGTTTCGGGTTTGTGCTTTGGGGTTTGCATGCTAAGGGGTAAGGGTAAACTTTGGGTACAGCCCCCATACAGTAACAGTCTGAAATAGGGCTACTATACAGGGCCTAATGTAACTATATTAGGCATATTATCCAACTGTTACTCAGTGGGGGCCGTACCCAAGGTAAACTTGCAGTGCACCCTCCAAAGGTGGACATGAGGTCATCCGGGGCTGCCTGGGCCGTTCTTTCAGTCCTGCTACGGCTGATGGACAAAATCCTGCTCCTTATTATGGGTCATGCAGGATTTCTATCATCAACCGTATCTTCAGATTGACACGACCTAAATTCCCGAAGCCTGAACCACTGAGGCCATGTAGGTATGGCAGAATCAGGACAGTGACATCATGAGCTACTGCGGTTGATGGTATAAATCCTGCATTACCCAAAATAAGGAATGTGCCATAATTCTCATAGTATAGGGTCCTTAAGGTAATGCAGGATTTATATCATCAACCGTAGTAGCCTAGGCGAACCGCTAGCCTGATCGGAATGGATCCGTTCTCTGCAGCGGTGACGGCAAACTTCCGGGCCTCGCTTCGAAGATCTGCCAGTGCTTGGGGTTGATGATATAAATCCTGCATTACCCATAATAAGGAATATACCATAATTCCCGTAGTTTAGGGTTCTGAAGGTAATGCAGGATTTGTATCATCCACCGTTGGGGTTGCATCCAGGTCTCTGACGCTATAATAGCCAGGTTAACATGAGCTCACATGCTGTGCACGAGGCTTTAAGCCAATGCGTGCAACATGCTCACAGAACTCAGGTTTGACAACATCGACAAGAATTACTTGATTGAAGGTTTCAACCAATGCACCGCGCAGAGTGTTAAAGGGTCAAAGGCTTGGGGGTGGGCTATTCCGGGCAAGGTGGGGTTCCCATGTTGTTGCTAGGGAATTTGCGATAATTAAGCATACCTTTCGCAGGTTCTTGAAGAACATACGCTCAAAGTCCAATGGGTCTGGTATAAGCGGCCGGCACAGCCCACATGAAATGAGGCCTCGCACTGGGCGCAACGGAAAGCACCTTAGCTTGGCAGCCCGGTGGAACAATCACTACCTCCCATCGCACTGCGCAGAGGCAGCATGATTACTCCAACTAAATGTTCCGGTGACAGATACTTGGTCATACATGCTGTATTGTATCGCTGGAGAAAAGAATACACTGACAATCTGTGCTACTGTAGCGAAGCCTCACCCGCGTTTCAAGTGACACTCAACTGTCAACCAACCATCACATCAACATAAGCTGAAGTAGGGACGTAGTCGATGGTGGTCAGGCAGCACCGGAAAGCACATTAGACGACAGCCATGTCCGTCGGACGAGTCCGTCGGGATGCGTTCTCTTGGAGAACCAAGTCATACCGTACAAATTCAATGTCAAACAACTGATGGCAGTCAAACGACTTGTGGCGACTTGCTGAGATCTCAACACTCTCCAAATATGGTGATATATTTACACCAGTATGGAAGTCAAATGCAACATCTTGTAGCCGTGCACAGATATGCAATACGGTGCCAAGCCCGAAGCAAAGCCCCTTTGGCAGAAGAGCTACTGTAGCCCATTCTACTACAATCTGTAGTTACATAAGTCCCTACCTGACAGCAACGTATTGCAGCATCCGAAAACCCGACACCCCAAACCTGAAGCCAAAGTCGTGAACCCGGCTTTCTTTGCCCAACACAAGCTGAAGCACAAAAAGTCGGCACAGTGCCACGTCTACACTAGTATAAACACCGATCAGATCAGTGCGAGCCATGCATAATGTTTTCGACAGGCATGTAGGTACGTACATTCGTACATACATACATACATACATACATACATACATGTACATACATACATACCATATATACATGCATACCTACCGACATACTTACTTACTTACATCCTTACTTACTCACACACACACACACACACGTTACACAATCCACCTGTTTTGCTGCATCTTGAACCTCTCGCTCCGAAGTAGCATGCTGTAACATGCATGAAAAGCCTTTGCCTGCAGCACGCATCCCCCTTTGACCAAGGAGCTGAGCGTGTTCGAATATTGAAATCTGCCGATATCACTTTATTGCTATTGCTTCAAGCCGGAGGCACCCTCCGCGATGCCATCGCTCGTAGCTGTAAACTCATCGAGGCAAATGGGGCAGTCACCTTTCGGGAGTCAAAGAGTTGAGGTGTTCCGTTGGGGATGAAGCCAATTAGACGGAGGATGTAGGGCTTCGGCTTTTAGAAGGACCTGGGGCGAAGGAGAGAGGATGCAAAAACCCTGACTTGAGGATCTGGGAAAAAGCTCATTACCCATAGGCCCCAAAGTAACTCCTTTTGGGGATTACCTTCTAGGATTCTATATATGGACCCCAAAAAGGAACTACTGTGAGCAGCTTGGGGCCTGAGTAGCGCAGAGCCATTCGTTACACCCCAGAGCTGCTTTATAACGACGGCAGCACACATGCGCAGTCTTCGTTGGCAAGCATGGCATCCGAAACTGCTGGGGCATGGATTGCCAAGTTTAGATTCGACGTGCGCACCCTGATTTCTATACTAGATTCGACTAGATAACCCAGTAACACATGATCTAGGAGTCCTAGGGCCCTAGGGGTATCCTCCAAAAAAACCCATCGCAAGTTTCTTCTGTCGGCGTGGAGCCTTGCGGCATCGTGGGCGACAAGGCAACTTGCCGATGACATCTTCCCAAAAGCTGGCTTTCAGGGCTTATACGGTTTGGGCGTAGGGTTTCTGCCACTAGCTGGATGTAGGGTTTCATTAAGGCTATCGGCGAAATGGCAGTTGGGTCGACAACTTTGAGGCACAAATGCATCAACGGACGTCGCAACAACAAATGCTTGAGCTTGCCAAGGAAACGCAATATGCATAGATCTATGTATATACTCTAGTGTATATGTATGCAGTACAATATGTATAGTATGTAAACTTGTCATTATTTATATAACTCTCCAAAACCGTCTACAAAATATGTAAGTATATCTGTGTGAATGCCTGTATGATATGTATTTTACATTTGTAAATCTATACATATGTATGGGCTTGCCTGGGCTACATGAGTTTCAATCTCCTGCTGTTGGAGTCCGCGAAGCATGGTCTGTGTTGGATTGGCGACGGATTAGGGCCAGGGCTTTCGGATGTCGGATCAGGGTTTAGGGTTTAGGTTTTCGGGTTAGAGGTTCCGGGTTGAGGCGAGGATTGAATTCGCGCGTTCAGGGTTTGAAGCGCGGATTGGAGCAGCCTATCTTCGCTCATGAAGCTGAAGCCAAAACGGCAGTGGATGCTTTCCGTAGGTGCAGCTTCAACTGAGACTTCCCCTTGGTTCGTCAATTCTCACTTCCTGACAGCAGTAATGTGACACCGAAGCCGGCACGGCACAAAAGCAGCAGAGTTGCATTCTTTTCCCCTCGCGGACTTGTTACACGATGCCACCTTCATCGTCAACTTGGCGTCTTCTGACATGGGCCTGCGCTAGAGACGAGCATGTATGAACTGTCAACCCTCCTTGCGTAGCTGTGAACGGCAACGCTGCTTCGAAGCGCCGGTCGTGCAAACATGTACGAAGAACCCTTCGGACCTTCAATCACCTCCGCCCGATGAGAGAGTACCTGCCTGTTCGCCTATCTCTCCAGCATCACAGCTTCCACTGAAGATGATAGAGCTACTGTCGGGCAAGCTGTCGTGGTGTGCTTTCTGAACGACATCCTCCTCAGCCTTTCTACCCCGAAGCCGACGCTGTGAAAGTCAACAAGCTCAACAACATGGGAGACGCCCTAGGCCCTAAACCCCTTGAGCAACAAACTGTTGGCATAGACCCAAGCCTCAAGCCTCCGGCCGTCGGGACCTCGAAGCCTAAGGCCTAAGGCCAGCGTGAAGCCCATCATGCAAGGTGTTCTACAGCTTTGTCCCTGACCTCTCGCACCGAAACCCCCGGATATGATGCCGTCAAGGTGCATATTGTTCCCCAGACCTTTTCCCTTTTTTAAAGCTACTGGACTCAAGTCTAGCCAGTCTACGACCCACAATCATCTTCAGACCCTTTCCCTGAACCCTAAACCCTTCCCCCAAGGGTGCAAGTGCTTAGTTATCATACATTCTTCAAAATAGTAACCTACATAGCTATTATCCCAAACAAGAGTACCTGATTATTGGGTACTTTGGACCCTTCGGGTACTCTTCGTTCCCCGGAACTCCCTGACAAAGAGTGGGAGCCTTAATCTGCTGCGTCGACTCCCGGCGACGGAAGGCGCAGGAGACCAGGTCCTCTTGAGAAGCTGAGTGTTCAGGGTTTAAGGAAAAGGGCTTAGGGAAAAGGCTTTAAGGAACCTGTTCCTTTTTTGTGAGGCGAACAGGGTTTTTTCACTCCTACCTAGCAAGGACGAAGCCGAGGGTTTTAGGGAAAAGGGTTTAGTGAAAAGGGTTTCATTAGCTCAGCGAAGGAAACAACCCCCGACAGGGGAAGCCTCTTGACCTTCGACTTTAAGGTCTCAGCAGTGTCCAGAATCATAGTATGTTACACACACACATATATATATATATACACACATACCAATATACACTTATGTGTATGTGCATCTATGTGTGTATATATATATATACGCACACATAAATATAAATATATATATATATATACATATACATACATATATATATATATATGTACTTTTAGGTATTCACATAAGTTTCTATAAACATAAACATATATATATATATATGTGTGTGTGTATCTCTATATATATATATATATACATGCATAGATATATTTGCACACATAAGTACATATATATATATATATATATATTTAGATACTTATACATATATATATATATATAAGTAGGTACAGGCTTCAGCTTGAAACGGGGCCTCGGAGGACTAGAGTCTGACTGTCATTCTGGTTGGATGCCTTTGTGATGGTCGGTATTGGGGCGGGCCTCAATGGGTAGGAATTGAGTTCAGGGCTTGAGACTTGTCGAGAGATAGGCACCGGCCGGATGGTGTTTTTGCATATAGGTAAGATATCAGATCTGATATGCATTCAGCACAGGAGCCGAAATCCTGCAACAAAAGTTGCAATGCCCAACACTGCGAGACCCGTACCCGTAGTGTTACGAAGCTCAACAGAAGACGAGGTACGTCCACTTCGACAGCCATGTCTTCTTCATCCTTTGGAGCCTGCAGAGTCACATAGTTGCACTGTCGATCATGCTCTCGTCGCTTTGCTTAATAGTATCGATTCTGGTTCCTGCTGGCTTTGTTTATCCAAACTTGAGTTAAGAATTTATAGGATGTTGCCGACGAATGTAGGAACTACAATGGAGACGGTACGTAGGGCTTTCTCATGGCAATGCGTCAACAGATATCAAAAAACACAGATCGCAGCGACAACAAGAACACGCTGTTCTGCAGGGACGCAATGTTGAAGACAGGAATGCATGTCGCTACACCGAAGCCCTTGCCAATGGCTGGATCCGACCCTGGCCATCACAGTCACGGCGTGGCGTGAGAAGACTCTGCAGAACATGAAGGCCTTCACTCTGCCTAGAAAGAGCATGTGCCCCACTTGACGACTGGCATGAGGATGTCAGATGGTCCGAGGCACAGCAAAACCTCAACCAGCCCTGGACATGCGGCGGTGGTAAAGCCCAGCCTCCTTCTTCCAACCATGTGGGCGCATTGCATCAGACTCAACGTCCTCGGTAGCAGTCAGTTGCGCAAAGCGGTCTTGCTTCCTTGCACCGGAGCAGGTGTCACGTCACGTCGACTCATGGTCTATTGCCTGAACTGTTGGGTTCTGTCAAGGATAGGGATGCATCGACTCTATACTGAACTTAGAACCCTAGCAAACATTATAATTTCAGCTGTTTCTTAGGGATTATAATAACCAAAAATTAAACAACAATTTCTAAGTACCCCTAAGAAGACATGAAGTCGGGCAGGCTTAAAGTCGGCTCTGCGTGCGGGGCCCCGGAATGCCCCGGACCCGAATCACCATCCAGGAGACATAGACAGAGAGCTCTGGGTCTAGGGTCAACGAACCAGACGTTAAAGATCGTTAAAGTACACGCTTTCGGTTACTCTCTTACCATGCCTCAGCCAACCCTGACATATACCCAGCCCGATCCGGCGTAGGGTGTTACCATCGATCCACCCAGTATCGATGAAGTACTGGAGCAGAAGATACAAATGTAGCATTTAGACCATATAGAAGTAACGACATGAAAGCAAGCAAGCAAACGTACATATCTGCATACCCTCCACAGCAGTACGGTAGGAGGGCAGCATGAAGACGACAACTTTAAGTACTCCTCCTCTGCGAGCCTATCTTTGCATCCCGGAGACATATGTGCTGTCCATGAGATGGCTGAGGCGTGTCCGAAGCAGCCTCCGGCAACTGTAAGGGTGGGGTCTCACTCCGGTGCACGTCTGGGGGTGCCACTGGCGGACATGTGCAAAAGTCGTTAGACTTTCTTGCGCTACCAAAACCTCCCCTTTGTCGGGTCACCCAACAATTCCATACGATTGTTTATAAGAGCCTACAAAAAAAGTAGGTTATGGCGGTGATGGTAATTTAGGGTAGGGTTTAGGGAAATGAGTGTGCTCTGCCACCGATTTTTGCCAGCCTCACAACCATGAGATGCAGCAATGCCCCTAAACCCAAAACCCTAAGCCCTAAGCCCCATAGCTCAGCCTTTCGTTGATGCCCGGCATGCCCTTCACCAGCTGAACGTGCTTCGCCGCATCCTTCTTCTTCTCCTTAGACTCTCCCAAAATGCCTTTTATGACTGCCGCCTGTACCTGTGAGCCGACCAACTCTTGCAACTGAGCAACTGTGGTTATTTGCTCGAAACTCTCGGGGCCCCGATCACTCAAAGCACAACCTTTCGTAAGTTTATGTAGGCGCAGTCGTTGGGTATCTCCGCTAGCACCTAGCCACTCACACCTCAGGATATCCTCTGTTGTGAGGAACCTCCTTGTAGCGCCTTTCCTGGGCTTCTAGAGCTACGGATGCTTAGGAGTTTCAGCTTGCGCTGTAAGAACCTAACCAAGACCCGCCACTCAAGTTAGCCATTAACCTGGGTCGACTCGATTTGACTATGCCAAGGTCCTCCCCCCACTTGCAAGCCTCGAAACGGCCCACATCTGGATTTGATAGGGTTCAAAGTTTGTTAACCCTGAACGCTAAATTGGCCCTTCAACAGGATTTGATAGGCTTGTTTGTGCTACCATGTCGGATGGGCAAGTTCTCCATCCTGTCGGACACAGTCACACCAAGACATGCCAGAACACCATTGGTTTAGGCCCTACGGTTAGGGGGGCCCAGTCGTGTAGTGCCTGCTGCACTGCTTGAGTGGAACTCGGACAATACAAGCGAGGCACATGTCCGTAGGTCGGCTTGTTGTTTTGTGAGAATTTGGGGGTTTACACTTCCGGATTTTTGGTTCAGGGCTGGGTACCAAACTCAGACGTCAGGCCGAGATTCTCCGACCACACACTCGGAAGCAATAGTGCTTTTCTCAGACACCGGGACGCCTGCAGGGCGCAGGTTTTGGACTTCGGCTCATAATTAAAAGCAACCCAACACCTGCAAAGCCTATATAACCCGTGGGTGTCTTGATCTCACTCTGCTGCAGATTCAATTCCGGTCGCCTCCAACAGCTCCACGCCAAATGTCCTTCGGTTCAGGGCAGCAAGAGGATCTAGGATCTGATAGGATCATACTGAGACTTGACGGCGGCTGCTACACATTGCTGCAGGGCTCCCGAGTTTCTGGCTTATTCGAGGACCTCGTGCACCAAGTTCTGGAGTCCAGCCCTCAAGAGGTCTCATATTTTCCTCTCCCCCAGTCCTGAAGCTCATCACCGATCGAGTCTAAAGACTCGGCCGCATCAGAAGTGCCTGACCATGAGGTTTGGTGAATGCAAGTCTTACTGCCTTGACAAGACGAGGTCCCGGCAGCAAGGCACGAGAATATCAGTAGGTCAGGTATGTCATTGAGGTCCTAACCTATACGAACTAGCCAACAGGGCTACCGTGAGTCGGCTTCGCTTCAAACTTCAACCAGGAAGACACCACCGCTGATATAGGAGACCATACTTTGGCTCCATTCTGCCCCAGATCGAAAGTGCACCGGCTGAGCAAGTTTGGCTCCTGAAGTGGGTCGATGTGGGAGTTTCCGAAAATAGGGTACCATAATATAGCACTGAATAGCAGGATCCTTATTACATGGTCCCCAAAATAAGGTACCCCTAACTTCGGAAACTCCCATGCGGGTCGTACAAACTTTCTTTTGTCGCAGCCGTTTGCACGGCTGGACGCTTGTGTGCCCCTCAGAGACTCTGACACATGCCGCCTTTGACTCTGTACACGCATGTTCGACGAAAGACATGACAGCATCAAACGGCAGAGTACAAAAAACAAAAACTTACGTATCGCCTCAGCACTCAGCCGAAAACTTTGGAGCAGCTGTGCCAGCATCAGCTACAGCTGCCCGCTTCTGTTCTGATTCATGCTCCAGCTTGTCGAGCTGAATGCCGACAGGAATTTCGCTGCAAGCGTCCCTCTCATTTAATTTTGACTGGATGCACTTCATCTGACAATGTGACATTGACATGCTGAGGGACGAGGAACATTTCCACACATTTAGGTGATGACCAATACTATCCCTATAGGGGTCCTGATTCTAATTGTACTATATAGGGAACTCCAGAAAGTTGGAATATGGATTAATGGTAGTAGGATCCCCTATAATTTACCTTAAAGGGGTTACGATAATGAGATTCCAACTTTTCTGGCTTCTACTGTAAGAGATGAAAAACATCGAAGCCCCAAGCTTCGGGATTTTGGCTCCTAAACCCTAAACCCTAAACCCTGATACATCGTGAGGCCCACGGGTTCTTTCAGCGCCTAGATCAGGAAGCTCTCCGTAGCCACCCTCGCCTTCGGAAGGACGAGACTACGGCTGATGATATAAATCCTGCAGTACTCATAATAAGGAAGATACCGTAATTTTCATAGTTTAGTATCCTTAAGGTAATGCAGGATTTATATCATCAACCGTAGCACCCGATCCCTATCGTGACCACGCACACGAGGGGCTTCAGAGGGGCTTTGAACCGGTCACAAAGCGAGTTGCTAGTTGAAAGGTCCGAAAGGGTTTGCCGCGCTCCACCCGAGTCAGTTTTGATATCTAGAACTCTTGCATGGCTGTTCCAGAGTTTTAGCAGGTTTTGTGCCGCAAGGCCTTTTCATACAGACTCTAGAGTAGGTTAGTAGGGCTGCAGAAGTTGTTCAGTGGTGTTGTAGGGGTTTGCAGGCACTTCGTAATGGTTTGTACAAGGGTTTGCGTTTAGAGTTGAAACGGTCTGGCAAATCTTGACAAGGGTGTTAACCCAAGAGGTTTTGTTAGGCATGACGCCAGTTCCGAACTTAGTCGCCGCAATATTCAAGTCATGTCGGGACATGCGGCTCAGCAACGAATCGCCAACCCTCCTGATCAAGCCGAAAAGTCAACTCGACGGGTTTAGGTCCCGACAAGGTGGAGGCCCGAAAAACGTCCCTCTATCCTCAGCATCAGCGTCCCGCGCCTGAGAGGACAAATGGCACCGGCAAGTGGTCCTGCGCCATGAAATAGCCGACGGCAGCGCGCATCCGCAGGACGTCCTGCATCTCGGCATCCGCCTGCCAAAACAAAGTTTAGATGCTGTTGCTTCACTTGTATGCGACCAAGGTCAGTGCGGTTGGTAAAGAGGGCTTGAGGGATCAATAGATCGTCTAAGCCGTCTAAGTTTATGCGTCTCTTCCGTTGGCAGCGGGCATGGCATACTCCTGTCCGGTCCTGCCTATTGCGACCATCCTCCGATATGTGTATGTATGTGGCAGTCAGCATGCAAGCATATATGCATACGACAGCTCACTTGCATGCTTTGTATTGCATGTTTCACTCGTATGTGAAACACGCGTATGTGTATGTATGTATATACATATATATATATATATATATACATTGTATAGAGAGAGCATGAAACAGTATATTGGCCGTGTGATGTACACTGACACACGTACAGGCAGACAAATGTGCATGCATGTCTGCGCGCATGTATGCATGTGTCCATGTAGCGTGATGCATGTCTGTCTGTCTGTCCGTCTGTGTGCCCGTCCGTCTGTATGATATGTGTGTTCCTTGTGTCTATATGTATGTATGCACGTATGGGGGGATGCCTGTTGCTGTTGCTGTTGCTGTCGCCATGGTAACGGTTCTGGTTGTGGTTGCGGTTGCCTTTGCCGCAACTGTTGTTGTCGTTGGTGGTTGTTGCTATGTTGTTGTGTTTTGCTGTATTCCGTCGATTGTTTTGCATTTTTGGTTGCTTGCACCTGGACTGCCAAAACCTACGCCCGCTGACCACTCATCTAAGCTCGGCAAAAAATGCTCCGAGTCGTCGAGACATTAAGTAAGTTCCGAAGCTCCGGTTCGGGTAGAGTTTGCGCTGTGGGTTCAAGTTTAGGTCCGGCCCAGGAGGAAGAGCGGGGAGTCTTACGAAGGAGGTGACAAGTGCAAGGCTCCACAGAGGTAGGCAGTGTTCCGCCCTCATTAGAATAGCTTGAAACACCAGACCACAGGACTTGTCTTCGGGGAGTTTGATGAACGTCGTCATCCGAGATCCAAGATCGAAGACCCAATTGCCTAGTTAATATGTACATGTCAATTGACTAGGAGACACTGGAGGATGCGCACAACTACCAATTCTCTCCTGCGCAGGCCCCACGTAGGCCATGATGGCACCCAGTCTGGCAGAAGTTTAACTTGGGTGTGTACCGAGATGTGTTGCAGGCAGCCAGGAGGCCTTTGCGAGGTGTGTTCGTAACTACGACGACGGTGCGCCCTAGAATGGAGTCTAGTCCTAGTGTTGACTTGATGCCAGCCGCGGGTTCAAAGCTTAACGCGTGATACACTTGCTGTGTCCCAGCTGCATCTCCGAGCCGACGTTGGCTGCATGGCATAGCACAGATGTAATGCACGAAGCCTGAATCGTCGAAAGAGACACACAAAGAGAACAAAACGACGATGTCCGATACAGAAAAACAGAACTCATGGGAACATGGACCAATGAAGAACCCTGTGGATGCACGCGGAAGCAGACTTCCGCAAAGCATGTGCTGCATATATGCAACCGCAGAACTTCCCGCCACAACCAGCAAGAAATCTCTTTGTTTACAGCTGCCTGCACAGGCATCCTACTCTCACTTTGCCCTCGAGCCGGATGCAGTAACCTGCTTTTGCTCGACAACTTTAACTATCCCCATCCTTTGGAGTCATTTACAAAGGATCACGCTGTTACTGCATCCGAAGATGAGGATCCTGTTAGGACGCGGCGGGTTCACCGTGCCCCAATTCGCGGGTCCGTGCGCCGGCGGTAGGATTGATTTAGCTTGGAGCCTTCTCCTCCATGGTGTAAGCTCACATATTGAGCAATGCCGGTGGCAAAAGTTTTATGTGTTTATGTGGTTTCTAGGAGCAGCGGAACCGCAGAGAAATGCACAGTCAATCACTGGATGATATTGGACCTAGTTCGTTGAGTCAATGTCGAGCGATATCCTGACAAACAGAAGACAGGCTATGGTACAGTGAGGGATTCGGGAAGTTAAGTTCGTATTCTGCGAAAGGAGCTTCAGTGGCTTTGAGGTCTCAGGCAAAGCCAGAACAGAAGCAGAGCAGTTTGCAGAGCCGGTCGTCGAAACAGACCAGGCCCTTTTGCAGCAGGCTGCTCTCGCCCGGCACAGACCAGGCGCTAAACCCTCAACTCACGTTATTTTGGGGCCTTAATAATTAGAATAGGATTTTAAGGCCCACTATTGCATATTTATGATAAGGAGCCCCCAAAATAGTAGAGGTAATTAGTAAGGCCCCTATATTAATCCCTTACAGACCAAAGGCGACCAAACCCCATCAACCGCTGCCTCGTGAGCGCCGGTCCACTACTCCCAGGGCCTGGCAGATGCTGTCTCGACACCTGGCAGAGATACGGTTTCAGGATTTGGGAGTTTCCGAAAATTAGGGGTACCTTACTTGGGGGTCCTTATAAAAAGGATCCTACTTTTTGGGATACTATATTAGGGTCCCCTATTTTCGGAAACTCCCATTTAGGGCTTACAGGCTTACAGGGTTCATAGGGCCTACCTATAGGGTCTAAGGGTTTAGGGCTTATTGGGTTTATACTTGTCTGCCATTGTCTGCCCGACTGCATTGCTTGCATTGCTGCACGAGTCGCTAGGCAGGGTATCCACGAGTCTGACAAGTTAGTTCTCATGAGCCGGACGGCAAATAAAGAAAACAATCTCATACCCGTGCTTCCGTGTGTTTTGTGTTTTGGGTTTGGGGGAGATTTCGGCCTGCAGTGCAAACAAATCAACTGTTATCCTGAGAGGGAGTCTGTCGAACAAAAAGGAATCGCATCTGATTGCAACCCGTCCAGTGAGTGACAATGAAAGAAATGCCTCATCAACTCTTTGGCGTGAGCAATCTTCACACACACTTGCAGTTGGCCACGCTGCAATCACAATGGACCACATATGTTCAAACTTGTGTAGTTGCAAATCTATGCAAGTATGTATGTATGTATGTCCGCACACTTCTCCCCAGCCAGGCATTTCGCTGGTCCTACAAGCTAAACGACCCGAAAGCCTTCCTGGAAACAACCGCAGTAATCACTGACACCCTTTTGTTAAACACTTCGTAATAACGATAACACCCCTCTGAAATCATTCCCAGCTGTTTAAACCTAACTTGCATTACGGGCAGATTACGGGGCTCAGCGGCAAGAGCAATGGCAGCAGCAGGAGCAAGAGCAAAAGCATCAGCAAGAGCAAGCAACAGCACGAGCAGGAGCAAGAGCCCGAACAAAAAGCAAGAGCCTGAGCAACGGCAAGAGCAGAGAAATGATTACAATACTTTTCGAGTTCCCATGCTGGGCGGGGTGCGCTCCCCGCCTCATTGAATAATCAGGCGGAAGGGATGACTTTGGGGTGATAATGTGATAGGGAGCTTCCTGATCGATCGTATAACTCTTCGAAGTGTTCAATTAAGGCAGCGGGTGCAGGTAAGAATGGTTGCCATAGGGGTTACTTTTGTAGTTACCATAAGGGTTACTGTAAGGCTACTATAACGGTTACTATACGGTCCAAAGTAAGGGGGCACCCGTGCAGGGGTGCGCCTACCAGCGCTCCACCCTCCATCTTCAGTCCGGTGATCTGGCAACGGAGGCTGGGCAGACCAAAGCCAATGTAGGGGCCTTAATAATTATAAGAGTGTTTTCGGGGTTGCTTATTATAACTATAGGACGGATAATATCTGATGTGGCAGCGGCGGCTTGAGGTTTGTTGTCTTCACGAACAGAGCTTAAGTTGCGGCACGCTTGCAAGAAGCCGAAAGACGTCGATTACACGGGTCAAGCAGGACTGAGCAACAGGACTGCAACATGACAAGCACGCTTGATTGTGATGCTTTGGAGGCCAGAGTGGCCAGAGATCGAAGGCAGAGTGTTAACCGTCCCGCTATGGGTCGCTGGGTCGCGGCTTTGAGGCCCAAACCCCGAGAACGATGTTGCTGAGTGAGTTACATATTTGGCCTCACACGCCAAGGTCTGTGTGCACGTGAATAGAGCAGGCGGCTTCTGCTGAGATGCGCAGTGTAGTGATCGATGTCCCTGACGCCTGCGTTCCATCCGTTGCCGCGAAGCGCCCTCCAAGGTCCTGGAAGCAAGAAAAGGTTGGTTGCATTTACGGCTGTACACCTGATGAGAATAGGATTTGGGGGGCTCCTTATTATAGTTGTAGTACTATACCCCACAACCCTATTCTAATTATTAAGGACCCTACATCTCTGTCTTTCTGCATTGGGAAAATTACTACCGTTTTCTCTATGCGCAGGCTTTGCACACAGATTCCTCGAGCTCAAGAGTTGAGACAACATACATCACAAGACCCTGCTGACTTTAAGGACACTTTAAAAGTTTAGGGTTTAGGGTAAAGAAGGGGTTTAGGGTTTAGGGTAACGTATTCCGAGTTCACAGCTCAGTCGAACAACTTCTATTTTGGAAGCACAATCACCATCTTCTATTGAGCTTCATTTTTTATGGCTTATAAGCTTACGAAGTGTAACCCAAATCGGCATGAAATGATGGTCTAGCTCGGAGGGGCCACGACAATTCACAAAATCAGTTCTCCTCTCCTAGCAGCACTCTCCAGCTCTGTCTTTCTCTCTCTGGCAGCCTCCCTCGTCTGGGCAGTTTTCTCAGGGAGGCACTTGGGCAGATTGCTCGCATCAGGTTGGTGGAGGTCTTGCTGCCATATCTGCCATAGGCCCAGTTGCTGTCCTTTTCGGCTTTCTTCCCGGCTGCAGAGAGGACCTAGGGGTCGCACGCGTTCCAAGACGAACGGGCAAACATTGCGCAGAAGAGCTTGGCTACCTGGATGGCTGCAGGACTACCTGGCGCAGCGTGGTCCATCATCCACCCAATGGGGCGCAGGGAGAAGATGGGCTAAGGTGTGGCAACTCGACCGCCGCAATGTCGCATCTTTTTCCCTTGTGTAGCCCTGGTTTACTGGCGGAGGCATGCTCTTGGACGGCTCTGGCAGCATGGAAGTGGAAGGCCCCGTCCAGGTTCCTATGCATGAAAATGCTCAGGCCCTCGCATTGCCATGTGATGTGAAGAAGGTCTGGCATAACAAAGAATCAGTGTCATCGAAGAGGAGTACATGTACATACCGACAGCGGACACATCTGCAGCTCAAGCATCAAGCACGGTGTAGGGGCATGCCGAGCCGTACTTTCCCGGACACGGGAGCGTTCTGGTCGGATTCAGAGGTGCTGGACTTGGACTGCCGGACGTCTGCAAAAGATACCTAATAGCCGGAAGGTCAGATAGCTGCATTTGAACCTCATCCACGCACACGACCCGTAAAAGAAACGCCAAAAAACCTGCTTGCAACAAAGTACTCAGTCTGGATCCTTCATTCACTGAAACAGCAAGGGGACCTATATCGCATCCGAAAGCCTAGTATGCCTGACCCGACCCTTGAGTATGACCCTACCCGCAGCACAACAAACAGCCGGATTTGCCAGGGAATTGCCAAGGTTTCGGCCTCAGGAGATGGGTGCCAAGGGCAGCTGCTTTGGTGGCTTCGAGGTTGTGTTTTTGGGGCCGTGGCATACTGTCGCAATAATTACACATTGCTCATCCTTCTTTCTTCAAGCTTGTGTAGTCTGTCACGACACCGAAACAGCCAAAATCTAGATGGCGGCCACCGGTATAGGAGCTGAAAAACAAGTTGTGCGTAGTCAGTGTGAACGACTTTTTGCCGCGTGAAGAGGTAATGGCAGTGTAAAGCTCCAGAGCGAGCTGGAGCTGGGCGTAGCAGGATGCAACTACGATTTCACCAGAAGGTCGGTGCGCATGGGCGAGACGATTCCAAACGCTGCCCACCGCGACCCACTGCAACTCTCAGAACCGGAATCGCCTCGAACGCCGTGAGCACTGCATGTTGTCCACATGCAACCCTCCAAAAACCTGACATGAAACAGTTTCCAAAAGCAAAGACCCCGCAGCCCGTGATACGAGAGCACGGCTCTCGCCCTCTTCCTGCGTCACGGCGATCAGGTACTCTGCAGGTGCCATCGGCTTCCCTGCAGAAGGTGCCCCGGTGGAGTTGGGGAGGTGGGGCAGTTTAGTGTTTATGGGTTTAGGGTTTAGGGGACTTGACTAGTCTGTCTCTCTTCCAACAATATCAGTTGCCATTGCTCACATGATCATGGGAAAGAGATTGGGCGAGTGCCTGATGGGTCTGGTCTTTCGACCTTCGCAGATCGACCAACCACAACCACGATCAAGTGTGAATGGCCAACGCCCTGAGCGCTAAAGCCATTCAAGAACCTCAAGCCCCAACTCACCAAACGGAAGTGGCGATCAGTTTTGACGGTGCAACGGTGTCGGGTGTGGAGACGAAGCGTTGGAACCTGACACTGTTGAACATCTGAATCCCCAGCCCGGCCCAAAACCCGACCGTCCGAAACATTCGCAAATCCTGACGCCCGGGATCTTGCAGCAGCCCCTGAGGGTCCGCACGTGTGGGCTTCAGTTGGCTGCTGTGGTGGCTGTGTGACGGAGTTCGCCCATGGCCCTGCCAGCAGCTCGGCATTTGGACCCCGAACTTCTTGCTTGCGGAGCGGGCAATGACCAGCTTTCTGGTAAGGTCGGGTTTCCGAGACGGCACCCTGCAACTGTGGAGTAATGTGGAGGTCGCTGGCTGGATGGTTGGATTTCGGCTAGGACCATCAACGATGTCACAAGTGCTGTCGCTTCTCCCACCAGTACCGAGACCAATCTGAACTGATGGCAATGTTCCAGGAAGATGTGACTTGGTAACGGCGCCGAGGGCGGCCGTGATGATGATGACGATGACGGAGACATGACAATGACGACAACGAAAGCAAGTGATCAAGATGGCAAGGTAATGAAGATGAACTGCTAGTCGGAAAAGAACGATGAGGATGATGGTGACGATTATGATGGTGGTGATGCCTCTGATGGTCTGTAACATTGTCACAATACGACGATGAAGCTTCTCACTGGTGGAACCACATTCGTTGGCGCCACTGACATTTACAGAGGCTACATGGGTAGCTTGTGAAGGTTTCCTTGCAACTTGCAAGTGATTTCCTGCTTTACCCACGACACTGGACATGGGCTACTACTCTTGGCACGAGTGCTACTGCAACTGCTAACTGCCGCTGCCACTAGCATGCTTCTGCTACTGCCACTGCTGCTGCTACTGCTATTACGGCTTCTACCAGTGCTAGGTACTTGAGTTACTTATACCAGAACCAGGTCTGGTACTGGTACTGATACCGGCACTGGTACTGGTAATTCAACTGGTTCTGGTTCTGGTACTGCTATTAGTACTGGTACTACAGCTGCTACGACTACTAGGAGAACGAAGAAGAAGGACGACGACGAACAAGAAGATAAACATGACTAAGACGACGACTACTACTTCTGCCTTTGCGGTTGCCTCGGTTGCTGACGCGACTGCGTACTGTCTCTACTCCCGGGTCTTGGTGGCTGTTTCTGGCCGAAGGAAGACTTCGCATCGACTGCCACAACAGTTGCACAAGTACTTCATGCGGATGGCCTGTGGCTTGCTGCCATCGCGAAAGACGAACTCGACCTCAAGTTGTGTCACACTGCAGGGCTTTAAGCCTTAGGTTTTGTCTTGATGCAGTAAAATAGAACACGTAGTGGTCAAGCAGCAGTCGCGAACATGACTAGCGACTAGGGGAACCTCCACCTTAGGGCGCATGGGGGATGATGCTGTGTCCTTTTTGGAGATTGCTTCAACCTTCAAGCAGGACCTGCAGGATCCGAGTCGGATTCGCGTGCAGCCCGATACATTGATCATCAAAATCAGGCGCCCTTGTTGGATTGATGTATAACAAAGTAAGAACCGGAAACGTTCAGGGACCGAGAGTTCTGATTCTAATCGCAAAAATCCAACAGAAGCACCCAGGAGGGTGCATAGTAAGGGGGCTCAAGTTACCCCTCCTCTGCCTGTGGCAGGGAGAAGCTCAAGCCCGAGAGTCGAATTAAAGCTTGCACTCTCCTCACCGGGAGTCATCCGATGCATGACATGACGGGACGACCTGTTCCCGATGATCCGCCTTCTCCGAATCTTGCATGGCCGGGGTGCACGAGAGGTGTGCTGCTCTCAAGGGCGAAGGTCTTTCGCTGGATCGTGAACAAAAAGCCGCAAGGCAAAACACAGGGACTGCCAAGAGCACGATCCCACCCGCCGCGAAGAAGGCGCCGCCGTAGTGGCAATTGAGGTCATAGACTTTGCCGACGAAGGTGGGCCCAAGAAGCATGCCGACTGCAATCCTCAGCTTCGCCGTGGACCGACTATGATGACTCAGTGGCTACGTAAACGGACGTTTCGTTGCCGAATGATTCTCGTTGCTTTAGTTTTTGCGTTTAGTCTTCGGAAAGTATTCGGTTCGAAACCCTCAAGCGCATCCCAGGAGCGGAATGCCAACAAGGCCGTAGAGGTGCGCTACTCTCTGCGCGTCGAAGAGCTCGTTGAGAAGCAACGACAACAGAACAACACGGCCTCCGGCAGAGAAGCCATAAATGGCAGAGAAGGTCTTCAGTTCCGCAGCGTCGTCGCAGAAGGGCAGGCAAATTAGCGATGCCCCCGTCACGAGCAGTACGACCAGGACAAGCTTCGAAGGCATCACAACTGCAGAGAAAACACCGAAACAAAGACGACCAGCTGCGCCTGATATGCCAAGCAGTGAAGTTAGCTCTTTAGATATGTCCAGGCCCCTCTCTGCTTCAGCATAGTACACGAGGTGCGTGTAGGGTACCATGAAGCCGATGCCATAGAGGAACAAAGAAGCACTGAGCAGCAAGAACTGTAACTCGCCGAAAGGCTGTAAGAAGTCTCGGACATGGCTGCCGCTTCGCAGCTCTTGATCGTCGGTGGTGGATTTTCCGGTCTTCTTATGTTTGTAACGAAGACTGCACCAAAGAGCCGTCAGGGCAACAAGCAGCAGAAGGCCAAACGCCCCGCAGCAAATCCGAAGCGCATCCCTCCAGCTGAAACTGTCCAGCAGTAGATGGAGGCCCAGGTTAACCACGACAGTTCCAAGACCTCCGCCGGACGAAGCCAGACCTACAGCCACAGGGAGAAAGCTCCGGCTGAGATGGCCTTGACCATAGAGTACCGCCAGGGCTGGGGTGAAGATCATGGCCATGGCTACCCCACCGACCAAACTACAGGTTATGAAGAGGAAGTAGCTGGAGGGGGCGTGGCTGTCAGCAAGCATGCCGAACAGAAGTAAAGATGTCCCAATGGCGGCCATCCGCACGAAGCCGATGCGATGGACCAGGAATCCTGCTGGTGCAGCACCCGAAGCGAACACAAAATCCCGAATCGAACCCACAAGTGCCAGGGTGCTGGCCGCATCGCCCGTGTCTGCCCTCAGTGCAGCGAAGAGTGTGCCATAGGAGTGGAAGAGCCCCAAGACCACGACTTGCACGAGGAAGGAGCCCATGACCAAGCCGGCTTGCTGCAAGCCAGGAAGCACCGATTCTGCACTCTGACTTTCGGGCATGATGCCGGCAAAGGAGGGCTTGCAAACTCCCACTAACTACGGTGCAAAGCTTGAGACATCGGATGAAGGACCGCAAGTCGTTCGATCATGGATGTCTGGTCAGGCATGTAAATACTGGCCCCTGAACACGTGCCACTCCCCAATGGACCCCTGCAAAGGAATGCTACGGCTCGGTTTGCGCTATAGGACTACTCCACATGGGCCGATCAGCCCGAACTTCCATTGTGTATTTTTTAGGGGCCTTAATATTAATAATTCGAATAGGTTTTTTGGGGCACATTATACTATAATTATAATAAGGACCCCCTAAATAGTATTGGTAGTTCTGTATTCCCATATGGTACAGTAACCCGGCAACCGAGGCGTCTTTTCGATTTTTCGCGCCTGCGGCAGCGTCAATACTAATGTAGCTTTCCCTCGAGGCAGGCAGCTTCCAACATCGCGCATGTCGGGTAGAAACCGCACTGAGACTCTTCATCGTTCTAGCTTCTGAAAAATTGGTGCTGGCAGCTTAGTAGCAGGCGTCTCAGATCACTACGGGAAGAAACATGTAGGATTGCTTGCTACACTGCTCTTACTCCCAGAAGTGCCGCTACTCGTACTACCGCTGCAGCTGCTACGGTCACTGTTGCTACTACGACGACGACTACCACTTCGGCTACTACTACCAATATCTACCAATTATTCAATACTGTTTCTGCCACAGCAAAAACTACTACGACTGAAATTCCCAAGCCGCCGCAACTACTAGTAACTACTGAACCACGAAGAAGATCAACCACGCAAGCTACTAAACATAATGAGGCTGCAAAACAATCAAAACATTCGGCACCCGCCACTATCACTATCACACTACTACTACTACTACTACTGCTGCTACGACTACTGCCACTACTACCCCTCCTCTCCTACTACCATCCCGACTTCTATTTCAACTACCAACTACTATTACTGCTGCTGATACTGCTGCTGCGGTTTCTAGTCTTACTGCGACTGCCGCTGCTGCTGTTCCTACTTCTCTTGTTGCAAAACAGCCGCAATTTGCTTGAACAAGATAGGGGCTTCATTACTCCGAGGCTTATGCACCCTTGGCTCGTCACACAAACAGCTACGATAATTACTCAAATTATTCCTAAACCTATGTAGTCGAAGAGACAATCGCAAACAGAAGCGTCACATGTGTGGAGGCTGCCTGTCCAACGAGCCTAGGCAAACAATCACACTAACGTCCTCCGTTTCGTGACGTGGGCCACGAACTCCACTTGCCATGACCCGGAAGACATGAAGAGAACGACCCCCCAGCTTTCATGCAAGATTAAACCTGGGGCCCAGAAGTGCTGAACCAAACAGCCGTTCGGGTCTATGCTTTCAGCTTCGACAAATCCTCTGCAATCAAAGCCATCAGCGATGTTGACTCCTGGCAGGCTGTATAAGATGCAGGGAGATTCCTCGCAAACCAAATGTTTGGATTTCGCCCCGGCGACCGTCTACCAGCTCTGAAAAACTCAAGCACCCGTAGCGCCGAGAATCGCGATTGCATGACACCAAAACTGAACCTGGAAGTCTGCAATGATGATAGTAAGTTTAACATATTCTACTTAGTAGGATTAAACAATACTAAACTTGTTCTTGTTGTTACACATGTTTTGGCTCCCACATTGCCGTCCCGTTGATAGACATGGACTTTCATTATACTACAGTCATTACGATTAGTATTGCCTCTACTTCTCCCTACTACTACTACTACTACTACTACTACTGCTGCTGCTGCTGCTACTACTACTACTACTACGACGATGACAGTCTGGACTCCATATTTACCTCCCAAGCCTCCCAATCAGCCTGGAAGTGCTGTTGCTTGAAGTCGCCATAGGTCGCCGTCTCCTCTTCAAACCCAAAGGGGCTCTTGAGGGACTCAGTTTAGTTTCAGTCGACGGGTGTTTGGTTTGGGGTGTTGTGTTCAAGGGCCGGGCCCCTTCAAATTTTGAAGACTGCGGTTTGCCAACAAAGCGGAGGAAAGCGCAACATCCCTCCATGAAAGCATGCTCCTGGAAACACAGATCTTTAATACGTGAGAGATGTCGTGTAAGAGAGGGCTTCTCACGATACTGAGAACGATGCTATTCTAACAACGATTTCAGAACCACATTGAGCTCTCTGGCTGAGCATGACCGCGGTTCAGGAGGATTTGATTGTAGCTACTATCCTACTTGCAGGGTCATGGGACTTCGTAAGTACGGCTATAAGTACCTCATTTGGGGATAGAAGTACTTGGATGTATATAAGTACTTTTATAACCTAGTTACTATGACAATGAGTCCCAGGAGTCTTCGAAGTAGCAAAGGTGCTGAAATCATCTGCCGAGACGCCAGGCGCCAGGGTGGCCCAGCCACAGACTCCGGGCAGGTCAGGTAGCCTTGAGGGTTTAGGGTTTAGGGCAGAAGGCACAAAGGAAATTATAGTTATTGAACCAGAGATAGATTAACTGTCAATTTTGTCAGAAAAATCTCAGGACCCGAAGCAATATCGACAAGTGGCATACAACTGAGTTTCAACGACGCCTCGTTTGCAAAAGCGTGCTAAGTTTCGGGATTCCTCTAGATTAGGCCTTAGGCCTTCCGTCGAAAGCTCCTGTTTTGCTGGCAAGTGTACAACAAGCAACCCTCAGATCACTTTGTGGTCTCTCGTCTTCGTTTTTTTCATGGCGCAAACGACGGCCAGGGTTTTGTAGGTCTCGGGACTTGCGGCCAAACATGGCACAAAGCCTTGTGGGTTTTCGACAGGGCTCGGAATCCGCGCTCCGAGCTTTGAAACAACTGGAAGCTGGAGAGTTCTCGATCATCACCGCTCAAAACATGCCTCACATATCGAGCCGAAACCGCTGCGTTCGGGACGCTTCTTTACAACTTGAGGCTGTCTCTATCCGTTGCTTGCCCAGGGAGCGGATGGGGGTCGTCACCAGGGCACCTGCCATCTGAGTAAATTTAGCTGATTCTGATTGGTTGAAAATCTCCAAACACCAGCTGTCGAACCCCCATCCTGAAACCCTTAATCCTGGGACCTAACACGCAGAAGCCCAAACACCTGTGCATCGAAATGTCGAGGTCAGCAAAGATCAAGCAACACCTGGAGCCTAACCGGCTCTCAAATTACAGGCTCAGGATGAAAATGAAAAGGATGTATGATTGACGTCTTGCAACAACTGGTCCCACGCCTGCCGGTGGAGCACCACTAGAAGGCCACACTGTTGGGGGGCACACCTCGGATGCGTGAAAACACATGCACTGGGAAGGAGCGGGGGGTATTATCTGAACTTTCATTGACTGTCTTCAGTACTGCTGACCCGCCGGGAGCTGCCATCCTACAAGACTCGGCGGCCAACCTACAAGAACCCCCAAAAGAAATCTCGCGACTCGCAGCTTACTACCGCAGTGGTCTGGCAAAGTAAATGTACCGATTCTTGTAGGGTCTTATCCCAGCTTTACGCTACATTGGTTACTCTGGGTAACCCCCTAAACCTGAATAGGATTCCTACGTATGCTCAGACGCAACCTGTCACCCGTCGAAACCGAGAGCTAATTCTCATCTCCTGGATCCCTAAACCCTAAACCCGTTTGACTCCTGGATCCATAGCAAGCGACGGTGTAGAGGCGCGCCTGAGAAGACCGGACTGCGCTTCAGCAGGCCCATTTAGGGTTTCGACGCTCACACTCATTTAGGGTTTAGGGTTTAGGGCTTAGGGTTGAGGATTTAGGGTTTGGGGTTTAGGGTTTGGGGTTTAGGGTTTGGGGTTTAGGGTATAGCACAAGTTCTACACACTCCCTTAAACCTCGGGGAAGGAAGATAAGCACAAGTGGAAATAGCTGGTGATTGTGCAGCCGAGATATGGGCTGTGTAGTTCTAGCATCTGGATTGCTACTGTGGAAAGTCTTGGCCGTCAAAGCATTTTAATGAAATCGCACTGCATTTTTGCATGCCGAGATGCCGGGATAATCCCACGCTTTTCGATGAGCGAATAGGCAAGGGCAATGGCAAGGTGCGCACCCGTGCCTGCTCGAGGAATGGCACGGAGAAATGAAGTTCAACCCTGAACCCCATGTCTGATGTGAACTGTACACTCTGGGTGCTTCACATCTCCATGATGCTGGGCGGTGCCTAGGCCGATAAAGACCACGTTGTCCGCGGGAAGAATTGAGAAAGACTCCTCCGACCAAAGGATGTCGTCATGTTATTTCTGTGTATGCTTGCTACTATGACTTCGGAGGTGATCGGTGCAATAGAGATTACGTTGATGATCGGCTCGGTTGTCGTGTCATGACTGTCATGGTTGTTGGGTTTTAAACTAGCACGGATGAAAAGTTGAGTCTACTTGACTACCTGCCTGCCTGCTTGCCTGCTTCCCTGCCTACCTGCATGCTTGCCTACGCTGCTTGCGGAGCTGCTACTACTACTACTTGACTACTACTACTACTCCTACTACTCCTACTACTCCTACTACTCCTACTACTCCTACTACTACTCCTACTACTACTACTACTACTGCTACTACTACTACTACTACTACTACTACTACTACTACTACTACTACTACTACTACTATTATGACTACTGCTACTGCTAATATTACCCCACCACCACCACACCAAGTCCTGATCACTCATCCCCTCCCCTCCTACAAAAAATGCCAGGTCCTGGAGCTGATCCACCAGCGGCATAAGCTGCGACCAGGGCACAGCGATCTCGTCCTGAACGATCTGCCCTCACTCCCACTCCCCCTCCTCCTAGATTCATGAGGTGTCTTGGCAGTCCGGACTACATCCCTCAACCCTTCTTGCATCCAGGCCTCTGTGCAGTCATGCCCGGAAAAAAAAACACCTAAACTCTCTCTCTCTCTCTCTCTATATATATATATATATACCTATAAACCCTAACCGGTGGCTTTGTGAGGTCAGAGGAAGGGCTCGAGTCGATGTCACTTCCCGGTCCTCGGCTTGGAGCCACCGGCTGCGACCGGCACCCACCTTAGGGGAATCCGGAATCCCAGCGGCAGTCTGAGAGTTTCTCACCCCTGAGCCTCTGAATCGGGGATGCAAGCTCGTGAGAATTTGGGCCTGAGGGCTTCCACACTGAGATGCCGTGCAAACGTAGAGGCGCAGAGCACTAACCTCACAAAGCCTGTGATAAGAACGCCCAGCAAATACGATCCGTACTTTCTAGTACTACTCTAAGAATCTAACAGATGGCCAACCTCAACTTGATTCCCGAGGCCAGAGGCCGCCTATCACAACATCAAAAGCCTAAACCCTCCAAATTCGGCTAGTGCAGTATCCGTCACCCTACAACCGATCCACCTGATAGGCGACGGAGGCATCGCGCGCAGCGACTTCTGGATGCCACGCCTGCACGTGCTCATGTCAGTATGCAGCCAATGTAACCTTATAGGCTTCATGAACCGACTGATGACATACATACGTACATACATACATACATACATGCATGCATGCATGCATGGATGCATGCATTCATTACACCTACATACATACAGACGTACATACCTACCTACAGACAGACAGACGGACAGACAGACAGACAGACATGTGCATACATGTATATACATCTGCGCATGACTTTATCTATCTCTCAATATCCCTATCTATCTATCTATCTATGCATCCTAGGGTTTCGGCACGCAGAGGGCCCGAGGTCAAAGTGGTTTCGAGGGCTCAGTCTCAAAATGATTCGGATAAGATGGCCGGGGAGCAGGAGGGGACGGGAAGCTTAGTCAAGTCGGCCGGCTTCCCCCGAAATCCAAAAACCTCGCAACCTGATGCCGCCGAAGATGCCAGATGCTTGAGCTCTGACGAATAGTCCACCTTTGCAGCTCGCAAATACCCAAAACTAATCAACCCCAAAAGCCTGAACCACAAAGAGGCTCAAAAACCTAAAATTTCGAAGCGTCTCCGAGGTGCTGATGTAACCTCCTCAGCGAGCACACCAGAGAAGTCAGCTGCAGTGAGGGCCGTGACTTTCCTCTCCAGCTATGCACATGCCGGGTTGAAGGTATGAAGGAAACGGGTGCCGTATAGACCAGTAGAGGTGCTGGTGGGAACTAGAGTAGGCTTTGCTTATCATGCTTGAGGCATGTTATGGTGGCCGCGGCATAGCGGACTTTGACCTGAACGGGCTGAGGTGTCTAATCCTGCAGTCAGTTCGTAACAGTTATCCTAACATTGCCCCAGGCGAACGATAAAGGACAATGCCACCTTCCCATATCTGCAGTAGGACACGACACGGTGCTACACGCTACCTTCTGCTGGGAAGCGGTCAAACCCTGCCAGCCCAAACCCTTAACGCCACATCAACCCAACCCTAAACCCCACAACCCTAAACTTCAAACCCTAAACCCTACAAACCTACAACCCTAAACCCTAAACTTCCTAAACCCTACAACCCTAAACAGTAAACCCTACAACCCTACAATCCCAAAGCCTGAAAACCTCCAGGCGCTTCTCGCAGACCTCGCAAGGAGTCTGAGAGTCGGAGGCGAGAGAATTGAACCCTGGGAGGCGACCTTTTTTGAGTTTCGGTTGGGTACGCCCCTCATACAGTAACAGTCTATAATAGGGCTACTATTTAGGTCCTTATATATCTCTTTATTATGAATGTTTATCCAACTTTTACTGAGTAGGGGCGGTACCCAAAGTTTCGGCTCCAGAGGCCTTTCTTCCAAAACCAGCTTGAAGCGCTTCCATGGCACACAACTAAGATGGCAAATCTTGTATGAAGCTTGGTCGAACTTGGCTTCCATATCCTTGTGCGAGAGGTTTCTTGAGCTCACATGTGGCTATGCGCACGGAAGCCCAAAGCCCCGAACCCCAAACCCTGGTTCTGGTGGTTCACCCTGCTCTCATCCAGCCCGGAAGTCAGGAAGTCTGCCACAAGGTTCATGGATAGCTAGGAAAGCTGGGTTTAGGCGCCAGGCGGGGTCTCTGTGCTGCAGGGTTTGGGGTCTGGAGTTCCATGATACTTTCGGTTGTAGGGCTTCAGGGTTCGGTGTTTGAACTAGGGTTTAGGGTTTGTTTGTTTAGGGTTTGAGGTGCGTCGGTATTGCTCAAGGATCCTAGATACTGGGCCAAGCCTACTATGGTTGATGATATACATCCTGCATTACCTCCAGGACCCTAAACTATGGGAATTACGGTATGTTCCCTATTCTGGGGATACCCATAAGAAGCAATATACCATATTTCCGTAGTTTAGGGTCCTTGATTTAATGCAGGACATATATCATCAACCGTACGACTACGATACAAGCGCCTCGTTCTCCAGGACCCTTGCAAGAGGGATCCTACTATTCAGGGTAAGTAGGGTCCCTGAAGCAAGCCATCGTTTAGTCAGGCTATGAGGAGATGAGAAAGGCAATAAAGTGTGGGCTTAGGAAATGCGGTTAGAGGCGAGACTTATAACCGATGCAATGCTTACGTTTTGGCCCCCGCATGATGCGTCCGACAGACCCGCATGGAAACCCTTGCTCATGACTCCCATGAACATGAAGCTCCAAGTGGGTAGTTGTCAAAATTAGGGTCCCTGTTTGGGTACCCTAAATATTAGGTGCCGTATTCTATTAGGGACGCAAAAAGGCACCATAATTTTGATGACCACCCAAATATAGACAACCTCAACAAGAGCCTGGGCGAACTCTTGTGCTGGAAAGCGCATGCGGTCTGCCTCAGCTCTCAGCTGTCGAAGAACTGGATGCTATCCACTTTGGGGTCTAATGATCTTCAAAATGACCATCCTAACACATGATAATGATACAAGCCATGGCAATTCCTAGACAGGCAAACCTTCCCTCGGCTGTTTGTGCACCACTGAACGGATATTCCAGAGGGGTTTGTGGGGCTTGCAAGCGGCTGTGATTGTCCACTTGCAAGAGAACGTGACAACTGAAGGCAGATGCAAGCCGTGCAACCACGGATCTCGTTTATTAAACTCAGAACTCAGAAGGTTACGGGAGCCTAAACAAGAGGTTTACGTCCGTTGCCCTGCCAGTAGATGGGTAGTTCTCTGAATGGTGCTTCAGTCCTGTTTTAGAGCCGTACTAGTTTGGGGACCCTCATTTTCGAGAATTGCACAGAAATCGATGGCATAGGCTTCCATCATGGCACTCACAGCCCAGCTCACAGCTTCAGCATGCATGCTTCAGGCCGCAGCACATCCCCACTACAAGGGGTGCGCCTACTACAAAGTTATGAAAGTCCTGTCCGGGTACTATATAAAGGGCACTACTCAAGTTTCTGCCATAATCAAATTAAAATAATCCTACTTGAAGCAAATTCCTGGAACTCCTGGTCGCACCTGAAAAGTCCCACCATGTGGAGCCTTCCGATCGGCTGTTTTGCAACAGCCTCAACATGCCAAAACCCCACCCCTAAACCCTAAACCCTTTTTACAGGAGCTCGCTAGGCGAGGCTCCCTGCAACCTCCTTTTTCCATGGGCTTGATTAGTGCTCGCCCGGCCAGAATCCCCAAGCCCTTTTGCAACTGGCTTGCAACGTCACGCCAGGACAGCTGACTCGTGCCGCGCTGTACTCGTGACAGCCCCAAGCCCTAAACCCTGAACCGTAAACCCAACTCTGAAGCAAGACCCCACTCGACCAGAACAATCTGCCTTCACTTCCTCAGGGAGAGGGCCATGTTCGCCCAGTGGGTCCTCTAAGACCTCGGATGCAAAGCAAACTTGTTTACTTACCTGTGGCCCCCCGCTGTCGAGGATACAAGGCTCATCGGAAAACAGTTTCGCATGCAAGTCAAGTAGCACAGCCAGCTCATGTGACTTCGCGGCTCTGGATTTAGGCACCCGAACGATGAAGCCTTGTTGATAAAGAACCCTGAAACGAAATAAGCTAAACCCTAAACCCTGAGACCTGAGCCTAAGCCTGTCGAAGCTAGCGGCGAAAACTTTGATCGACCCATCAAGCAGTGGTGGCAGTGGCTCGCGAGGGAGAGGCAGCCAATAGTCCTATCTCGGTTCAGGGTTTCATCTTTGTTGACGAAGCTGGGACTTTGGTGGTTACAGCTCTCTTGTCGGGATGGGTTTACGCCTGGGTCCAGCATTTTGTGGGACTGTGTAGTTAACACATCCAATAGCAGCTACGACATAACTTTCGGGAAGCATGCCTTGAACTGTAATGTTGGCCTTCGGATGACTTTTTACATTGTTGTTGTTTTTGAATTGGAAAGGTATTTAGCACTTTCCTCCAGCCCAGCATCTGTGCACTGAGCTTCACACAACACCTCGAACCTGAAACGAGCTTGAAATTCAACTGGCAAATCAAACATGCTCGTGAATGAGGACTTTAACATGTCGGGCTTCAGTGGGCGTTACTGCTTCCGGAGAATTTCCGGAGCTCCGCTGCAAACCTGGCCCACTCCCAACCTAACATGTCTGTTGCTCCTCGTAGACCTGCGCAGCTTCCGACAGCTCGATCGTTTTCTGCCCGGAGATGGTATCCTTGACAACAAACTATCTTGGATGGATCTGAAGGCCGATTGTCTACGACCGCACGCTTCGTTCTCGTGCATCTAGCTATCTCCTGTAGCAGCTGTGGCCCACCCCCCGCCCCCCACCGCTGGCTTTGGGTCCATTGGCGATGATGCCTAGTCCTTTCAAGAGGGCTTCAACCTTCAAGCAGGACCTGCAGGATCCGATTGGGCTTTTCCGGAGAACGATTCTCATGCAAACCTATACAGAGATCATCTAAATCAGGTGCTCTTGTTGGATTCACTGAGAACCCGAAAAGCACTGTCTAGGGACAGAGAGAGAGTCCTGACTCCGATGCATCGCAAAATGCACAAGAAGCACCAAGTAGGGTGCGTAGGAAGGCTCAAGGCTGAAGTTACCCCTCCTCTCCTGAGGGAGAAGGTCACGTCTTCTTGGCCCGAGAGTTGAATTAAAGCTTGCACTTTCCGTGCGGGGATTCGTCCGATGCATCACACGACAGGACGACTTGTTCTCGATGATCCGCCTTCTCCGAATCTTTCATGCAAGAGCCGTCTGCTGCTCTCGGGGGCGAAGGTTTGTCGATGGACCGGCGACAAAAAGCCGCGAGGCAAAACACAGGGACTGCCAAGAGCACGATCCCACCTGCCGCGAAGAAGGCGCCGTCATAGTGGCCACTGAGGTCATAGACTTTTCCGACGAAGGTGGGCCCAAGAAGCGTACCGACTGCGATCCTCGGCATCGCCATGGATCAACTAGACTAGTCTGGATAAGAGGCTAAGTGAACTTGTAGTCTGTTGCCGAGTTTCTTCAGTGCGTTCGTATGTGCTGTTTCTTTCGTCTTCGGAAAGTTTACGGTTCAATACCTTCTCAAAGACAGCCCAGCAGCGGAATGCCAGCAAGTCCGTAGAGGTGCGCTACTCTCTGCGCGTCGAAGAGCTCGTTGAGAAGCAAAGACAAGAGAACAACACGGCCTCCAGAAGCGAAGCCATAAATGGCAGAGAATGTCTTCAGTTCAACAGTGTCGTCGCAGAAGGGCAGGCAAATTAGGGATGCCCCCGTCACGAGCAGCACGACCAGGAAAAGCCTCGAAGGCCTCACAAACGCAGAGAAAAGGCCAAAGCAAAGACGCGCCGCTGCACCACCTCCGCCAAGCAGTGAAGTTAGTTCGCCTGAGATTTCCAGGCCCCTCTCGTTTTCAGCATAGTACACGAGGTGCGTGTAGGGCACCATGAAGCCAATGCAATAGAGGAACAAGGAAGCGTTGAGCAGCAAAAACTGGAAGTCGCTGAAGGGCTGCAAGAAGTCTCGGACGGGGCTGCCACTCCGCAGCTCTTGATAATCGCTGGTGGATTCTCCGGCTTTCTTATGGTGACGAAGGCCGCACCAGAGAGCAACTACGGAAACTAACAGCAGTAGGCCAAAGGCACCACAGCAAATCCGAAGAGCACCCCTCCAGCTGAAGCTATCCAGCAGAACGTCCAGGCCCAGGTTAACCACGACAGTTCCAAGACCTCCGCCGGACGAAGCCAGACCTACAGCCACAGGCAGAAATCTTCGACTGATATGGCCTTGTCCATAGAGGACCGTCAGGGCTGGGGTGAAGATCATGGCCATGGCCACCCCACCAAGCAAACTACAGGTTAAGAAGAGGAAGTAGCTGGAGGGGGCGTAGCTGTCGGCAAGCATGCTGAGCACAAGTAATGCTGCTCCAATTGCAGGCATCCGCACGAAGCCGACGCGATGGACCAGGAATCCTGCTGGCGCAGCCCCTGCGGCGAATACAAAGTCCCGAATTGAACCCACAAGTGCCAGAGTGCTGGCTGCATCACCCGTGTCTGCCTTCAATGCAGCGAAAAGTGTGCCATAGGAGTAGAAGAGCCCCAAGACCACCACCTGCACGAGGAAGGAGGCCACGATCAAGCATGCCTGCTGCAAGCCCGAAAGCAACGATTCTGCACTCGGATTCTGGGACATGGTGCCGGCAAAGGGTTTGCAACTTCCCGCTAAGTATGGTGCGAAGCTTGAGACATCGGACAGCGGATCGCAAGTCGTTTGATGGCTGGAACTCCGTCCTGAATGAAACTCTTCGATTCCCCGCAACAAGCGTTGAGACAACCTTCTTTCTGAACCAAGAGCTTGAGCACAGGCCTGTTCAACCGTCCAACCGCTCTCCGAGCAAATTGGCACATGGTATCAGTATATAGCTTTGTGACTGCCACGATATTCAGGGCAGATCGCACTAAGCATCCACCAGGGGCTTTGTGGGTGAAGTTTCATGCAGAAGTCCCATCTTATCGAAAGTTGGATACGCAGGGCGATTTTCGAACACAGAGTAAAAACGCTACGCGAGGGCTCAAAGCGGCCAATCGTAGTATTCACGACACTTGCTGTATATGGTTTTGGATTCGAATTTCAGGATTTTTGGGTGGGGGCATGGTGCTAACTTAGTCCTTCGAACCAGGCTTCAACCAAGCCAAAATCTGGATTTCCGGAGCACGATTCGCGTGCAAACGAAACCAGAGATCATCAAATTCAGGGGCCCTTGTCGGATTCACTAGGCACCCCTATACAGGAAGCGGGAGTCCTGACATGTCCTGACCTGCGGTCTCCCAAGGTGTAAAGTAACACGCAGCAGTGCGCGTGGTAAGGCAGCTCAAGTCGCTCCTCAACTCCTGACTGTTGCAGAGAGGAGGTCTTTCTTGCTCAAGAATCGAATTAAAGTTTGCACTTTACATCATTTACACCCTGGAATTCATCCGATGCATCGCACGACGGAATCACATGATCTCGATGATCTGCCTTTGCCGGGTCTTCCATAACCAACGAAGGCTTCTCGATGGAACGCCGACAGAAGACTGCAAGGCAAAATAAAGGGACGCCCAAGAGCACGATCCCACCCGCTGCGAAGAAAGCGCCGTCATAGTGGCCACTGAGGTCGTACACCTTGCCGACAAAGGTGGGCCCAAGAAGCGTGCCGACTGCAAGCCTCCGCATTGCCATGGGTAAATTATTCACGCGGCACGAGTTTGATTGTTTGACCCTCTTTCGTGTGCGCCGTGGCTAATTCAGGATTCGGGCAAGTTTGAGGTTAGTTTCTATAGAGCTTCGGATTCGACCGGAACCTGTTTTTTGTACTCCCTTCTGTTAGTTGTTATTATGAGAATAATGGAGTAGAGGAAAACAAGAGGCCGGCGACGTCTCATTTTAGCAGGCCTCACGCTTGGTTAGTTGGGAAGGTAGGATGAAGGAAAGGTCTTCAAAGCGACGGCTATTTAGTTTTGGTAGCTATCTTGACGTGATCGGGGTTTTAAAATGTTTTAAACAGCCCGAGACCCTCTTGAACCCCACCACACGCTTCTGGCCTCTCCTTCGGTACTACGACTGTTACTACTGTGCAACTACTATGCGACTGCTATCACTACGGTCACTATTGCTACCATTACCGCCACCGCCACTCCACGATCACCACCACGACCAGCGGCAACACTAACTAATAGTATTAAATAAATGACAATGAGAATAACATTCCAAATTACTACAGGAATACTAATAACCATTTTCATAGGGACGCATTAACTAAGTAACCATTATACATAAAAATCACAATATTTGAAGGTCTTCTTCCAGGGGAGATCCCCGCACAGCGAAAGACCATACTTCGAGAAGTAGTGCTTGTTGCCGTCGGATCTTATGCAAAGCAGTACCACGCAGAGCCGAGGCACGGAATGCTGGCAAGGCCATAGAGGTGCGCTACTCGCTGCGCATCGAAAAGCTCGTTCATAACCAACGACAACAAAACAACGCGGCCTCCGGAACAGCAGCCATAAACGGCAGAGAAGGCCTTCAGTTCTGCGGCGGCTTCGCAGAAGGGCAAACAAATTAACGATGTCCCTTGCGCGAGCAGCACGACTAACAAAAGCCTCGAAGGCCTCACAAATGTAGAGACGAGGCCAAAGCAAAGACGGGCAGCTGCACCTGATACCCCAAGAAGTGAAGTTAGCTCTGTTGAAATATCCAGGCCCCTCTCTGTTTCAGCAAAGTACACAAGGTGCGTGTAAGGCACCATGAAGCCAATGCCATAAAGAAACAAAGCGGCGTTGAGTAGCAAGAACTGCAAGTCTCCGAAAGGCTGTAAGAAGTCTCGGACATCTCTGTAGCTCCTCAACTCTCTACAGTTGGTGGTAGATTCTTTGGCCTGCTCTTGGTGGCGAAGACTGCACCAGAGAGCCGTCAGGGCAACAAGCAGCAGAAGGCCAAACGCCCCGCAGCAAATCCGAAGCGCACCCCTCCAACTGAAGCTATCCAGCAGTAGATTGAGGCCCAGGTTAACCACGACAGTTCCAAGACCTCCGCCAGACGAAGCCAGACCTACAGCCACAGGCAGAAAGCTCGGGTTGATATGGCCTGGACCATAGAGGACTGCCAGGGCTGCCGTGAAGAGAATGGCCATGGCTACCCCACCAACCGAACTACAGGTTATGAAGAGGAAGTAGCTGGAGGGGGCGTAGCTGTCGGCAAGCATGCCCAGCAGAAGTAAAGCTGTCCCAATGGCAGCCAACCGGACGAAGCCGACACGCTGGACCACAAATCCAGCCGGTGCAGTGCATATGTGGGACAGGAAGTCCCGAATCGACCCCACAAGGGCCAAGGTGCTGGCTGCATCACCCGTGTCTGCCTTCAGTGCGGCGAAAAGTGTGCCATAGGAGTAGAAGAGCCCCAAGACCACCACCTGCACGAGGAAGGAGGCCGCGACCAAGCAGGCCTGCTGCAAGCCAGAAAGCAACGATCCTGCACTTTGACTTTCGGGCATGATGCGCGCAAAGGGCTTTCAACCTCCCACTAACTACGGTGCAAAGCTTGAGATGTTGGACAAGGGATCGCAAGTGGCTCGATCATGGCCATGGGTCATGCATGCCACGTAACACTCAGCCCGGAAACTCTTCGATGCCCCAGCACTAGCCGCACGTCCCTAGGGCCCTGGGGAATAAGTAATAAGATCCGACCATTAAATTACACGCACGCACACAAACACACATTCACCGTCTCCAGTCCCAAACTCTGTGAAGTTTCATGCAAAAGTCACATCTTGTCGAACGTCGGATACGTCGGATACGAATCGTGTCGCTTCGATCACAAAGAGAAACGTCGTCACAGTAGAACTCAGGATGAACGACGCGACTTGCTGCATGCGGGTTTGGATTTGGGAGGTTGGGAAGACTTAGCGAGGGGCATGTGCTAAGTCCTTCGGAGAGGGCTTCAACCCATCAAAGACCTTCATTTCCGGAGCAAGATGCACGTGCAAACCAACACAAAGATCATCAAATTCAGGGGCCCTTGTTGGATTCACTAGGAACCCCTATACACCAAGCGGGAGTCCTGAGCTAATGCATCGCAAAGGGAAAAAGTGGCGCGCCGCAGTGCGTGTGGTAAGGCGGCTCAAGTCGCTCCTCAACTCCTGACTGTTGCAGGGAGAAGGTCTTTCTTGCCCAAGAACCGAATTAAAGCTTGCACCTTCCACCCGGGAATTCGTGCGATGCATCGCAGGACGGACTCACATGATCTCGATGGTCAGCCTTTGCCGGATCTTCAATAACCGACGAAGGCTTCTCGATGGATCGCCGACAGAAGACTGCAAGGCAAAAGACAGGGACCGCTACGAGCACGATCCCCCCCACCGCGGAAAAAGCTTCCGCATAGTGGCCACTGAGGTCATAGACCTTGCCGACAAAGGGAGGGCCAAGAAGCGAGCCGACTGCAATCCTCCGCGTCGCCATGGACCAACTAAAACGTGAAGTGAACTACGGTAACTGTTGGCGCTATGTGTGTGTGTGTAGATATGTATGTCTATGCGTCTACACACATACATGCATAAATGCATACATGCATACATATATATATATATATGTATATATATATATATAATTATATATTTATATACATACAAATAATTATGCTTGTTAGCAAAACCTTGTCTTTACATATATACACATATACGTATAATAGCATAACAGTTATGAACATATACACACACACACATATATATATATATATATATGTATGTATGTATGTATATTGTATTATACGCATACACACATATATACATATGTATATGTATATGTATAAGTATATATATATATATATACATATAAGGTCCCCCCCCATGTGCCAACCCTTTCCTGTCAGGTATCTCGACTCGGAGCTGAAGCAACCTCCTGGTGTTCAGGGCCTGGGGCTGGCGGAACTTCATGAGCATCTAGCTTTATGGCATCAGAAGCATGCCTGCATGCCATCATGAGCATCGTACGCGCGAGCGGGTTGTTATACATTCTTTCGTCCTTGTCCAGGTTATGAGAAGGCCTAGCACAATTCCTGCAAAATCCAAATCCAAAAATCCAATATTTTCGAGGAGACGGCGGTGTGAAGTTTGGACTTTTGGATTTTTGGGATTCGCTGTAAACCCAAAAATCCAAACCTGCTTCCGTCATCTCCACCAAAAATTTGGATTTTCGGATTTACAGGAAATGGTTACAGGCCTGTTGGGCTCAATTGCTTGCCTGCGCTGATTTGGTCACATTACGCCGCTTGACCTGTCTATACTGCTTTTTACATGTATATGACATCGCACACCGAAGATACTGAATAGAAACAAGGTAGTGTTGTGTGACACGGAGACGGTTTCATAAACAAGCAACAGGGTAGCATTGCGTGCCATGGAGACTGCTTTATACAGAAGCAACATGGCCTGATCTTGCAAGTCCTGTTTCGGAGAAGTTCACAGGAAGTTGTGTGTTCAGTTCATCGCTGAAGACATGCCTTTTCATGATAGAATACAGAAATGTTGCAGGAATGGGCGCATGCAGGGGTAATATATATATATATATATATATACATACCCATTTACCGATCTGTCTATAGCTTACTACGCGAGTGTGTATACATAAACATATGCGCACATATCTATCTATCTATCTATCTGTCTATTTGGAAATAATATATATATATATGTATATATGTGTCCTTAGACCACTGTATGTACTTTCAAGCGGGTGGCCTGAAGAGGTTTAGCCTTCGGAAAGTATACGGATTAAAGCCTTCCTAAGCAGAGCCCAGCAACGGAATGCCAGCAAGTCCGAAGAGGTGCGCTACTCTCTGCGAGTCGAAAAGCTCGTTCACGACCAACGACAACAGAACAACACGGCCTCCAGCAGAGAAGCCATAAATGGCAGAGAAGGCCTTCAATTCTGCGGCATCTTCGCAGAAGGGCAGACAAATTAACGATGCTCCTTGCACGAGCAGCACGACCAAGAAGAGCCTCGAAGGCCTCACAAAGGCAGAGAAAAGGCCAAAGCAAAGACGGGCAGCTGCACCTGATATACCAAGAAGTGAAGTTAGCTCTGTTGAAATATCCAGGCCCCTCTCTGTTTCAGCAAAGTACACAAGGTGTGTGTAGGGCACCATGAAGCCGATGCCATAGAGAAACAAAGCGGCGTTGAGTAGCAAGAACTGCAAGTCTCCGAAAGGCTGTAAGAAGTCTCGGACATCGCTGTAGCTCCTCAACTCTCGACAGTTGGTGGTAGATTCTTTGGCCTGCTTTTGGTGGCGAAGACTGCACCAGAGAGCCGTCAGGGCAACAAGCAGCAGTAGGCCAAACACCCCGCAGCAAATCCGAAGCGCGCCCCTCCAGCTGAAGCTATCCAGCAGTAGATTGAGGCCCAGGTTAACCACCACAGTTCCAAGACCTCCGCCAGACGAAGCCAGACCTACAGCCACGGGCAGAAAGCTCGGGTTGATATGGCCTTGACCATAGAGGACCGTCATAGATGCGGTGAAGACCATGGCCATGGCCGCACCGACCAATCCACAGTTCATGAAAAGGAAACCTAGGTGGGGCTTTTAAAGCCTTTGAAAAATATTAGTAGATAAGATCCTCTTAAGCCCAATAAGGGAAAATATAAACTGTCCCAAAGCCCTACCTAGAAACGGCTGGAGGGCGCGTAGCTGTCTGCAAGCATGCCGAAGAGAAGCAAAGCTGTCCCTATGGCAGCCATCCGCACGAAGCCGACACGATGGACCAGGAATCCAGCCGGCGCAGTGCTTAATTGGAACACGAAGTCCCGAATCGATCCCACAAGTGCCAGGGTGCTGGCTGCATCGCCCGTGTCTGCCTTTAGTGCAGCGAAGAGCGTGCCATAGGAGTAGAAGAGTCCCATGACAACCACCTGCACGAGGAAGGAGGCCGCGATCATGCAGGCTTGCTGCAAGCCAGAGAGCAACGACCCCGCATTCTGAACTTCGGACATGGCGCCGGTTCTCAGCTGTAGGTGCAAAGCTTGAGACGGCGGACGACGGTTCGCATGTCCTTCGATCATGAAAGTTTGGTCATGCACCACAACACTCTTCGATGCCCCAACGCCAGCCATACTTCCCGAGACGCGAAGTGCCCTGACTCCCATCCCCACACACACACACACAGACACACACGCCATCTCCAAAGCCAGACTCGCACCCTCAAAACTTCCACAAGCAGGCTTTGTTGGGTGAAGTTTCATGCAGATATCGAAACGCTGTCCGGTTCGAACAGTGGGAGGTTTTTCTGGGCGGGGTGGAGTATATTAGTGAATAAATGAGTGCTGTACAGTATGATAGAGTATAGTGTAATATCGTATAGTATAGGATAGCAAGCAATAACATGTCAGTCATGTCAGCTCATATCATGTTCTAGTCTATTATCGCGTACTTGTGTAGAGACTATTAGCACGGGCCTTTCAACCAAGTTTCGGCTTGAACCTTCTCGATGAACTCATCCAGCAGCTGACATTCCTCCGGGGGGCTCTTTGCTGGAAACCAGCTTCAGGATTTCACGACGAACCCTAAGGGTCCAGGTACCCAAATAGTATATACTTTTTGACCTTAAGGTAGTCCCTATTTAGGTATTTTGGGGCCGAAGTGTATGCTATTTGGGTACATGGACCCTTAGTTCGCGAACAAGTTAACCTAGGATCCAAGATTTTGGATCTCGACGTCGGATTCTTCTAGCCCGATAAGGGGGTGACGGGGTCACACAGCTTCAGCCGGGCCCCGGAAACAAGCCGGGGAACCCCTTGGCAAAGGAAGCAGTCCGTTGGGGGCGAGGGGGGGGGTTAGGGTTTAGGGGGAAATGAATGGGTTCTGGGACGTTTTGTAGGTGTGCCTTGAACCTGCAATGGGTCCTTGGAATTCTTCTGCATATTTGGAGGGCGGTGGCCCTGGTTGTGGACACCTGGGAGTCAGCGAAAGCCATCGTTACGACTTCAAAGCACAAGATGCACAGAAGCTCATAGAAGTCTGCAAGGGAGAATAAGTAGATACGTGATGGCGACAACTCTCGCCTTAAACTGCACATCTTGAGAACAAAACACCTTGCCATCACCCAAAAGCCGGCATTCCGAGAGGCAAATTTGCCGGTAGTTGGGATGGATGTACAGCGCCTTGCTTTAAACATGGTGAGCATGGGTTTTGCAGGAACGTAAAATTTTCAGGGGTGCACCACGGCGGGCCCAATGCTTCCAAGTATGGTACACCGAGTTTGGCTGACTTGGTTCTTTCGAGTATGGCCTACAGGGGTACGCAAAAACTTGGAGTTTTCCAGACACATGCAGCTGTCGGCGTCACAGATACAGAGCCCCAGCATGCCTGAATGCTCCACACCAGGGTAGATTGCAAGGACCAGGGTGCAAACACGGCGGAATGAGAGCGAAAACCAAAACTTTGCAAAGGACGCTCCGCAGCAGAGTGGACCCTTTCAGCATCTTCATCACCCAAAAACATCAAAACAACACATTGCAAAGGATGCTTTACGGCAAAGCGGGCCAATGTCGGTCTTTGAGCACCCTCATCACCCAAAATCCTCGAACGCTCCTAGGCTGAGCTCCCCGGCAAGTTCTTCGTAGTTCGAGTACTGCTTGGAGTCATCCTCTCACTCGTTTTCCGTGCCATTCCCTTCCAAAGGGTTCTATAGGGGTTACTCTATTATACAGTAAAAGCCCAACCGGTGGAAACCCCATAGCGACAATCCTTAAGAGTAATGCATAGGGAATCCCAGCACTATTTGGCCTTAATCCGGTTTCCAGCTTGATGGGGTTTACTGTAGGGCGTACTCATACTATAAGGGTTTAGTCTAAATAGAAGGGCCGAAATTATTGGAACAGGCACTTGGGAGATTCAGAGACCTGAACCAAGCTCATTGGAGTCCTGAGCCAGGGAAACGAAATCCCTAAAAGGCCTTAGACTCTAAAGAATTCAAACCCTGACAACCAGAGACACCCCAAAAAAATCAGAGCCCATAAACACCTCTGTATCCCTACACTCTCCCAAGAAGCCGAAAACCCCTGACACAAGCATCCGCGTAAGGTCGTTGAAAGAACGGAGCCCTCATTCACGCATCCCTCGCAACGGCAGAAAACCACCCCTCAACCCTGCACGCTAAGCCAACCCTACAGATGTATATACATATACAGCACGAACACATACATATGCTTGTATATGTCGCGCATACTTACACACACACATATATGTATGTATGTGTATATGTATATATACATGTGTGTGTCTGTAAAAAATATCCTTATGTATGTATGTATATATATATATATATGCATATGTATATATGCATATGTATGTATATATATATATATATATATATATATATACAGAACGCGTCAAAATACGGGCCTGCGTTTGTGTATAGTTATGTTTAGGCTTTTATGTTTTGTAAATGCTAAGAAGCTGTATCGTAACGTGATTATAAGTACATTGTTTTCAATGAAAAGGTAGGTACCAATAAATAACTGATTGGCAAAAATATTCAAGTGGAGGCAATTCATACTCACAGATGAATATAGAAAACAAACCACATCAGGGAGACGTGGGACGGCTGGCGTCGTATGCGTGCACCGCGGAGCCGCGGGGGGGGGGGGGGCGAAAAAAAAAAAAATATATATACTATATATATATATATATATTTTTTTTTTTTTTTTTTTTTTCTTTTTTTTTTTTGGCCCCCCCCCCCCCCCCCCGGCCCCCCGCATGGGTCTGGGGAGGGGGCTGAGCACCACCCCTGAGGCCTTCGGGTGCGGGAAGGGGAGGGGGAACCCAACCCAAAAACGTAATGAGCAGGCCTTCGCACTCCACCAAGCACTCCGAATCATGAATTCTTTTGACACCTTCGCCCCAATATTAATGAAAAGACTTGACAAACTCTGAACACTGAAGCGGTTGGACCCCCATCAGTACACGGACATGTTGTCAGGCAAACCCAAACAAACTACAGGAAGATGTTGGGCAAAACCAAATACAGAACCTGAAGAATGACATGTTGGTTATCAAAAAGTATGCATACATGTCAACTAAGATGGATCATCTAAGCCCAATAAGGTTCGTGATAATTGGTAAAAACTAAAATCTGAAAGAAAAGATTACTTAGGAAACCCCAAGCTATCTGATAAACTTGTTGTTTAATCAGTTTCACTGTGGAAGGAGATGTCGATTGGGACACCCCAAATACTACATAAGACGTTGTTGAATCAGAAGAGATGGTGGGTTGGCAATCCCAAATCCTCCCAAAAACATGTATATAGGTTGCTCAACAACCCCCAAATCCTAGAAGGCGATGTTGGCTGGTAGATCCCCCAGTACCTAAAGCATATGTTTGTCTATACAACCGAAAGCTTTGTTTAAAATATGGGTTGGAAACCCCGAACCATAAAAAGAAATGTTGGTTGATTGACAAACCCCAGTCCCAACAAGGCGATGTAGCTGGCAGTCCCCACAATACCTTGAAGGGTGGTAAGAGGAAAGCGATATACACCGACATGTAGATTGACAACATCCATGCCATTGAACAAAGAGCTACTGTTTGGCAAGCTTCAACCTTAAAAGAAGATTGTGTTTCCGGAAGCATCAAACCCCTAAACAGAGATATTGGTTAGCAAACCACGAAATATGGGTTGGCACGGCCCGAGCCTTAAAAGTGACATGCTGTGTCGCAAAATAACTGTTAAACGGAAATAACGGCTAGTTACCATATGTCATACTTCGAAACGTGAAAATACCCCATCACTCTAACCATGGATGTTGGTTGACAAAGCTAAGTCCTAACATGACCCCGAACTTTGACATGAGAAATTGGCTGGCACCCACACCCGCCAAACAAATGATGACATCTCGCAAGCCGCCCACCCGTCGACAAAACGTGGGTTGGCAAGTGTCAAGCCATAAGAGGGGATGTTGGTGGACCAATGTATATTGAATTTAAAACGGAGACGATGGCCAATAAGATGATAGAAAACAAATTCCCAGCATGCAGATAAGATGAAACCCCCGAATTCTAATAGGAGATGCTTTTCGGCAAGCCCCAAATCATGAAGGAAGATCCAAACCATGAAAGAAGATACCCTCATGGCCTCCACCATGCGCCACAAGCCATGTAGTCTCTTTGTACTAATGTTTCTATACAAGAGTTGGCAAACCCCGAACACCTCAACGGCTGGCAACAATAGCGCCACAGGGACATGTGGGTTGGCAAACCCAATGTTTGCCGCACATTATCACTGCCATGAACTTGCACTTTGATATCCCGGTGCCTCAGTGGTAGCGACTGTTTGTTGACACTGTTTCGAGGCTTGTGGCTTGAGGAACCAACCCTACTTTTTTGTGGTGGTGGTGGTGGTGGTGGTGGTGGTGGTGGTGGTGGTGGTGGTGGTGGGGGAGGAGCAGGTTTTGTAGCTTAAGGTTGGCCAGGCACCAATATATTCCAGTATTTTGCTTGTCGCCCATTATTTCTTCTTAAGAAGATTGGCATGTCGCTGGCTCAGAGAGATTCGGGTGCACCAATCGTTTCCTACGAGGGCCAAGGGTTCCAAGACCCCGCCGCCTGGTTCAAAGTTAAAGATTTGCTTGGCTTGTGTTAGGTTACTCACTATTTCTTTCAAGAGTCTTATGCCTATCACGCATTCTATCATACTAATTAGGGTTGGAAATTGCATTACCCAGTGACCCCTCTCAGCATTTAAGGTTTGCCATTCATCATCTTCTTTCAAAAGCATCAAGTTGCAAATTTTCCCACCATCACCTTTGATCAGATATTGTATGTTTAGTAATCCTTTTTCGGTTTCGGAGGTCATCAACTATTATCTCCTTTCCGATTTTGGGTTTGCCAGCCATCGTACCCGACTAAGGTCTGGGGCTCTTGGCCCCCAAACATTTTGTATTTAAACGACTCTTTTATCTCAGGGACTTGAACTGACCATGACCTGCTGTTTTG